CTTTGTTCGGCTAGGCTGTAAAGGTAGACAGATTTGCATTCTCAAGAGTGGAAGAGACAAATGAAAAAAGCGGTTCCAAGATATAATAATATGTCGTAGTCGTATCCACAGTAGGCCTATATAAGAAATATTCTTTTTGTACAAAAATGTGGTAATGTTGTAAAGCTCTACAGAGCTCAAGTTTTTTTTTCTCCTCTAACTGCCTCTTTTAGTTTTTAGAATCTGAATTTTATCAGAGAGTTATAATTGAACTTCATTTTTCCGAACAGCTGCTTCAAAGTTATTACATAATTAAAAGTAATTATGTAATAAAAGAGTGATAATTTAGTAAAATTGACTTGTAGCTCATATTTTCGTCAGCTAAGGGGTGGTTTGATAAAGGCCTCACAGGAACAGATGGCCTATACATGTACTATATATATATATATATATAATATATATATATATATATATGTATGATGCAGGACAGACAATTGTCTGTGGTAGTCATCTTTTAGGATCTGTGGTCCATAGAGAGGGTGAAGCATTCTTGATGCTCCTGCCCGCGAGGTTAAGCTTTTTGCTAGAATTAAAAGAGGTGGATCTTTTTTTCATGCAAAGCAATGGATCTCAGCTCTGTTAGAGTTAGACCTACTGTTCATGAACAATAGCCAGAGGTGCCAACTGGCTGTGCCAAAAAATTGAGAACTCCTTTTCTTAACCCCATGGAAACGTGCATGTAGGGACTCAAAATTTATGTATCATATTGTCTGATGCATCTTGTATAAAGACTGTTTTTATATGAAATGCAATGACATGCAAAATGAGATTAAAATGTATGAATGGATGTGAAAGCAGGAGTATATTACAATTTCAGTTTGATATCTGAATTTATCTGAAATATGTAATCCTCTGAATAGTTCTGAAGTTTACAGCACAAATTAAATGCACTATGTCTAGACATGGACATAGAGGCTGTTTTGTTATAAAGTATTGCTTACTTTTGTTAAATCAGTTCTGTCAATGTATGTTAGGACCCAAGCGTTCTTCTATACCCGTATATTTTATATACATTTCCTTGGTTTCTACTCATGACATGGTATATTAAAAACTATTGATGTTCTTTTGAAAGGTTAATGGAATGGGTGCTAAATGTTTTTGCATCTAAGTTCTGACAGAATCTAAAGATTTTTTGCACAGTGCTTGTTGTCAAGCCTAAAAGTATCTTTTATTACGGTATAATCCTTTTTAAGCATTAGATCTGATAAGTGGAGTTTTGTCTTTAGTTGGTTATATATTTTCTTCGATTTGTATTTTACAGTACAGGCATCATTAAGAATTAACACTTTTATGTTCTTCATTATAATGAGCGGCTGCCTTTCAAGTTTGTCTCTCTTGAAACAGCAAAGATTACCCTTATTTTAATTCAAAGGATGTAAAGGATGTACATATATGTGGAATTCTTTCAATTTGTTTTGTAAGAATTTTGCCAAAAGAAAAAAAAAATGTTATAGAATTTTTGGAAATGAATTTGGACAGAATTTCTACACAGAGAATTGTCAGATGTTGTTTGATTCTATAAGTGCTCTTTCACAGCTGAGACTGAAACTGTTCATGTAAGAAGAAAACAGACAAGAAGTTACACCGGTATATATATATATATATATCTATATATATATATATCTATATATATATATATATATATATATATATATATATATATATATATCTATATATCTATATATATATATCTATATATATATATCTATATATATATATCTATATATATGAAGTTGGATAGTACTTACAACCCAAAAAAGTCTTCTATGTTTTTCTATACTAAGTATACTATAAGTCTACTTGTAATCATGTATTATTATTATTATTATTATTAGTATTATTATTATTATTATTATTATTATCACCCGTACCAATGATGATAAAATTTGGAAGGACTAGTTCTGGTTGCCTTGAAGCTGTCCCCGTCGTTTTATGCGAGAAAAATTCTGAAATTATGCAAACTGAGCCACAAAATGTGAAATTATGCGATTTTGTTAATTTTAACAAAGAATGATGAAGAAAAATAATCAGAAATTATGCAAAAAAATGATCAAATTTTGCTGAATTATGCAGGGTGCACAAAAACGAGGACAGTTTAAGCTTCAACGTGCAAAAGCAAATAGGCCTACATGTAACTTTGAATTGAATACCTCATGAAATTTCCTTCTCCTTCTATAATGTTGTGAAGCCTCCCTTATAACTATTGTCAGGGTAATGAGCAATGTACATTAATTATGTGCTAACAGACATTTCTCAGAAAAGGAAAAGGAAAAAAGGAAAAGCTAGAAATTGAATCTCAAACATTTAATAAAAATTTGCCTCAGAATGCTGTTCACCTGTTATTTGTAACTCATATGAAGTCTGGATGGAAAAACAATATCTGTGTAAACATGTGATTTTTACCTTTTGTGGCTACATTGTACCTGTATTTGGTGTGAAAAGTGTATGATATTGATTTTATTATTTATGTTTATATGTATTATATGTTGATTTTTTATGGACCTTGTGAATTTGTAGTGAAATTGTTGTAGGAACTGAGAATTATGATAAAGATGTTCATTTCTGTGTACACAAATAAACAATGCACCATGTTTACCCCATTTAGTTTAGTTTTTTGTAAGGTTTTTGATGCAATAATTTCATCTCTCACTGTTTGCTTGTGCATGTGGCTGGAGAAATTCACTTTGCTGCCTTAGAATCGGGTACCGTAGAGCATGGCTATACAATAGGGGGACTTTTAGTTCCAGAAGAAAAATCCTGCTGCAGGCAAGTTCCCGCTCCAGGACAAGGAATGCAAAGGGGAATTACCGAAAAATCACACACTACACGCTCACCTCTTCTTTTACTGTCTTTTTGACCTAGCCTACGCCTAGGGCTTTGGCACATCAGTTTTGGAGTGGCTCAGGTAACGTGTCTCTCAGCATCATCTGTCTCAACCGCCTGCCACACCTCACTCATCACTGGACTGGCCAAGCACAACGCCGCAGCACTGACCACCTACAGCTCCCCACCCCCAACCCCCTTCTCGCTCAACCTCTCCCGCTGTTTCCAAGTTCAGGCCTTTCCTTGCCCCGTTAAACCCAAGCACAGTTAATTGAGTTTACATAGACAAAAAAAAGGAGATTCCGGTAAGGTCCCGCTGCAGGGTTGGTCCCGCTGCAGCGGGTACCGCAATAGTCATGTTATTCTACTGTACAAAGTTTTATCTGACAAGGGATTTCAAAAACAACTACATCTGACTGACATTAATTTAGGTCCGTTTTGAGACACTAAGACCATGAGATACAGAAAAAAAATGTTCTAGCTCTATCAAATTCGTATGATTATTCGGAGTCGGAGTTGTTACTGTTATCGAAATATTCAAAGAGTTGCTTTCTAAAAAGCTTGACATGTTGTGAAACTAAATTTTTTACGCAAATTTCTCAAAACTAGGTACTGAGCAGATAGAACTTTGTAATTCTAAGGATGCCTCTTGTTGTTTGTAGGTCGTACCTTTTCTCTTTTCTTTTCTCCTCTTGTTTCTGTCCATTTGGCATTGCCTTGCCTTTTCCCCTTGTGTTGATATGCTTCTGTTTTCTCAAACAAATAATGGGGGCTCTCGTGGCCAAGAGGTTAAGGTGTTCGCCTCTCTCATTCAATAGGTCCAGGGTTCGAATCCAGATACCAACGAAAATTTTTTGTTCTCTAAATAGTCTCCTTTCACCTCCTTTCCTGCTGTCTAGATTCTAGCAATGTTCTGTCTTCTGCTTTTGCCTCCACATTCTGCCCCCACCCCCTCACCTCCTTTGCCCCCTCCGCTGGGCTCCTGACTCTTTCTGCAGCCTTTCTACTGCTACTCCCTGACTCCTCCGTACTGCTGTCTTTCAGCCACACCCCTGATCTTATGGCAGGAAAGATCTACGCCTAGCCTTTTTGGACAAGGGCAATAAATCTCGGAGGTCCCGAGTGCAAGTTGTGCACGATAAAGATCCCTTGGTGGTCCAAAATCAATAAGAGTAGACTTCGGCCGTCACTCGGGAAAAATTCAAAATTTCCTAGTAACTGAAAATGTTTAATGTGTCCCGTGCGCTCATTTGACCGTATGCAGTTGTGAGCGCCCTAAAACACATATACAAAAACAAAAACAAATCAAATAATGTAATAACTCTGTAAAATTTTGTACTACCAAGTGAGCTTATAGTTTATTGAGGGACTAGGAGGAAGCCATGGGTGGATCATGTGTTACTTTCACGTTCGTTACTGTCTTTGAAAAATAAAAGTAAAATGAAATTGTACAGATTGAATGCCCCTTGCAACACTGAAAGTGAAAGTGAAAGGTTATTAAAGAGGCAGCACCTCTGTATTTATTTTAATGTCCATCCCTGATAGTATTGAGTCAAGTGGGAAAATTTGTGTAAAAGTGCCTTTCCCCAGAACACGACGTCAAACTGTAGAGAAGTGTCTTTAGGCCATTCCCAAAGGGGGGACATTTCTCGTTCAAGTGCAGTAGAAAATGTGCTGATTCATGTCACGCTCATAACTGCCTGATCTACAACAGGGAACTGCTGCTTTTTCTTTCCTGATCCTTACTATTGTCATTTTCCTCTACTTCTTTTGTATGTTTGTCACTCTCCTGTGACCTGCTATTTTGGGGTGCCTTGATAGTTGAAGCAGACCTTGTGCTGTTGAACCACGGAGGTGAGCAGTCTAAGTCTGATTCCCTGTAAAGACTTCTCTGTTGACACCCACCCCTTGGCGCTCATATGACCTTATGCAGTTGCGAGCGCCGTAAAACCCTCTACTATAATAAATACGAATAGCAATCTGAGTACCATTTTAATAGGCTTGTGATCTGCCCCAACCTAAAGGCAAGAGACCCTGCCCTCCCACAGGAACGTTATTTGAAGAAACTGTTGGTGGTTATACCAAACTGAGTAAAGGGGGATCAAGGGATGAAAAAAAAGAGAAAGGAAAAATAAATTTAAATCAAAGATCAGATTTTATTTCACAATTTCCTCAGAGTCAGTTGAGGTCATGAACTTGTGGATACGTCTGGCGTGTTCCTTTCCAATCTTCCTGTTGGTAGAAATCACACTTGCACTTCGTCTGACCTGTGAAGAAAACAAATTGATGAACACATTTCTTGTGGACAGCATAGAAGTGGGTGGTTGGCGGGTGCTCTGGTGAGGTCTGCTCCTTCTTTCCTATCAAACATCTATCATCTTTATCTCTCCTCTTTCAGTCTTGTAACAACTCTTATCTTTGATACTTATGTAACCTTATTGTCTTGCAAGTGCACTTACAAAAACAAGACAGCAAAGACATACATGTACCATACTCGCATATATAATATATATGTGATTTTTCAATAATTGAAGTCCTAAAGTGTACCCTATAATTATACGCACGCCAGGATAGGCCCCAACAAAAGGAGACAATACTGTATAGGATTTAAACATATTAGACTAATCTCAATAAAACAACTAACACCCCCACGGGGCAGTGCCACTGACTGAAGTGTCTTTAGGCCATTCCCAAAGGGGGGACATATCTCGTTCAAGCATAGTAGAATTGTAAATGGGCTGGTTCATGTCAAGCTCATAACTGTGCCTGATCTACAACAGGGAACTGCTGCTTTTTTTTTCCCTGATCCTTACCTGTCCCCGTAGAATTATGCAAATTTAGATGGCCAAATTATGCAAGAAAAATGCAAAATTATGCAAAAATTATGCAAGTAACCGTAACACCATTCGCGACATGTTTTGCACTTTTTCAACAAGAATTTTCATGTTTTATGTACAGAAAAATTGAAAACAGAACATATCAGTATCAGTAATTTGTTGAGTATTTGGAAAGAAAACAATACACATCAGTCAGAAAAAAAACAACCCAAAAATATAATCTCTGTAACTTTCAGCTGTAGATCTATAGCGGAAAGAAAAATTGGGAAAAAAAAAAAAAAGGACATCTGGACCTCTGATGCTGGCCCTTCACTAAAACCTGGGACACCTGTCAAACATGAAACATCAGAAGACATGAGAACAACTTTTGATTTTTTAAATTGAAAAATAGAACATGCTCAAGGAACAAAAGCCCTAACCCCTAACCATAAAGTCAAGATCTTCTAACAAGGGAAATAACCAACTTTACACTTAAATGAGACTTGTTACGTCGATTACTTCCCTTTAGTCACATGGCGAGGCGTTGGTTAATTGTTTTGTGAAAAATGAAAAAAACAAACCCGCAGGGAATCCAAAATTATGCAAATGTTGCAGAAATACGCGAAAAAACGCATAATCCTTCGGGGACAGCCTTACTATAGTCATTTTCCTTTACTTCTTTTGTATGTTTGTCACTCCCTTGTGACCTGCTATTTTGGGGTGCCTTGATAGTCGAAGCAGGCCTTGTGCTGTTGAAGCTAGAGAGGTGAGCAGTCTAAGTCTGATTCCCTGTAAAGACTTCTCTGTTGACACCCACCCCTTGGCGCTCATATGACCTTATGCAGTTGCGAGAGCCGTAAAACCCTCTACTATAATAACAAAAAACCCCAAAACCAACTAACAGTTCTTGAAGACAAGAAACTATTTTGATGTCCGATTAGGGCTGGATTTCCCACATGTTGCACCCTCTCTAGCAAGTCAAAAATTCCGCCAAATTATACATGAGACCTGCTACAAAAATGGGCAGATTTTGGATTCAAAGTATAGGAGTCCTCTTATACTGGAATCTGCAGGACCCTCGGGTTCTCAGTCAAGAGAGATCGCTCTGATAGAAAGAAAAAATTGGGGATTTTCTTTTCTTTTGGTTTACTGCTGGTCTATTTTACGAATTAAGTGATTGGTTCAGCCGGACTCCACTGTATTCCCTACAATATTATAACTAATGAGGGGGCTCTCGAGGCCTAGAGGTTAAGGTGTTGGCCTCTCATTCAAAGGTCCCGGGTTCGAATCCGGGTAGCGACCGAAAAATTTTCTTCTCTAAAATTGTCTCCTTTCACCTCCTTTCCTGCTCTCTAGCAATGTTCTGTTGTCTGCTTTCAATTCCACTTTCTGCCCCCACCCCCTCACCTCCTTTGCCCCCTCCTCTGGGCTCCTGACTCTTTCTGCAGCCTTTCTACTGCTACTCCTTGGCTCCTCCTTACTGCTGTCTTTCTGCCACACCCCTGATCTTCTGGTAGGAAAGATCTACACCTAGCCTTCTCGGACAAGGGCGAAAAATCTCGGAGGGCCCGTGTGCAAGTTGCGCACGTTAAAGATCCCTTGGTGGTCTAAAATCGATAAGAGTAAGCTTCGGCTGCCACCCGGGCAAAATTCAAAATTTCCTTCCAACTGAAAATATTAGGTGTGTCCCGCGCGCTCATATGACCTATGCAGTTGCAGCGCCGTAAAACACTTTACAAAAACAAAAAAACAAATAACTAATGAGAGCATTTCAATGCAGTAATTGCCTTGCACAAGGCCTAGTAGTATAGTCTATAGTACATCTCCTACCCCACCCAAGGGGAGTAAGTGAAAAAAATCATGTCCATGAACTAACAATAACTTTGTTTTTGTTCTTGTACAGATCTATCTAATCATATTGGTGTTTTGAAAGCTTTTTTTTTAGGAGGCCCTTTCCAATTTCTGGTACTGTAGATTTGTATAACACAAAGCTGTTCAACACGAAATTCCTGTAACCGTGAAAGGATTTCAAATTCCCCCCCCACCCCTCTTTTTTTTTCAGTCCCTACATTGCAATTTCCCATAAAAGTATTAAAAGATAAAATTACTTTGCAAGACGAAATACTGTGGTCCCATGAAGTTTGCGTTATCAAGGTTTTACTGTAACATGATCTATATTACATGCAGACACTACAAGCAATCAATTTAAAACAGAACTGAACTGTTCAAAGATCAGGTGCTCAGCCTAAAGTAACGGAAAGTCTTAGACACATAGCAAAATTCATGAGCTTTGGACATGTAAGTGTACACGAAATAATTTAATTTATGGCAGAGGCGGATTGAAACTACTTGAAGCAAGACTAGTTGGGCCAGTTTCATGCTTCTGACCTTTAACTGTCTAAGAAAAAACAATAACCCTGGTGTCAGATGGTAAGCAAATATGACCCCACCTCAAATGGGCACATCCCAATAGATTCACATCCTATATTACAGTATTTATGGCAAAGACTCTTTTGCTCAGACATAATTTTTATGAAATGTTATTAATATTTGTTTTATGGGGTTTTAGTCAAGACACTTTCTAAAGGCACCTACAAGGAATTGCATCAAACATTCCAGCTCCAAAACAACTGTCAAGACTTTTAGCATCAAAATCAAACCATTTTATGCATTCTCACCTGAGTGTGCACATTGAGCTAATATTTTTATATCTAACCACCTCACTGTGCACAACTAGATGTACTTACATTTATATCTCCAATCAGCCTCTCTGCCTCAGCAGTACTACAGCTTTGACAAGTCTGAGCAAAGAGAATAAAATAAAAACAAAAGTAAAAATTAAGTCACTGGTATTGTTACAACAATACAAAGTGGTAGGAAGAAGGTGGGGGCGATAGATTGGACATACTCTCAGGAAGTCAGGCAGCTACATAACAAAAAAAGAGCGGAATTGGAATCCACAGGGTAAAAGATCAAGGGGAAGACCGCATGGAACCTGGAGAAGAAACACAGAAATTGATGTACAGAAAAGTGGGAAGACATGGAATAACATCAAGAGGCTGGCCCAGGATTGAGAAAGGTGGAAAGTGTTTGTTTGTAGCCTGTACCCTGGTGCAGGGTGAGAAAAGCAATGATGATGATGATTGTTACAAGAACATAATGTACAGTTGATCCTGCTCCAATGACCAACTGTCCAAGACAATCATTTTATAAATGACCACTTCCCACCATGCATTTTTTTCAACTTTATGATGTCACTATCCAAGAGAACCACTTTTCTCCATAACAATGGGTGGTCATCTTCTTGGACAGGTCTGGCTGTATTTATTTGGACAAAGCTGAAGTGGACTAATCAAATTAGAGGGTACGAACTCCAAACTAATCTTCAACTTATGAAATAATTATGTAATAATTATGAAACAAAGTTGTATTCTCTTGGAGAAAATTTCAAAACATTTCCAAGGCATTTATAAATAAAGCGAGAGGTTATGTTTTGTATCAAACTAAAAGCCGCTCAGCTGTAAGTCATTGCTAGAGAATAGGTCATGATATTTGGGCATACCGTACTCTGACCATCATGGTTCTGCAAGACCATGAGCATGGGATGTGGACAGTCATACACTTTATCTTAACAAGAAAGAAAGCTCTTCTACATTTTAGAAAAAAAAGTTTTTCTTTTAGTCACACAATGGTCAACTTCTGTTTACCTAAAAAAATTTTCTGCCTTGCTATTTTCTGTCCCCGCAGAATTATGCAAATTTAGAAGGCCAAATTATGCAAGAAAAATGCAAAATTATGCAAACATTATGCAAGTTACCGTAAAACCATTCGCGACATGTTTTGCACTTCTTCAACAAGAATTTTCATGTATTATGTACAGAAAAATTGAAAACAGAACATACCAGTATCAGTAATTTGTTGCGTATTTGGAAAGAAAACAATATACATCAGTCAGACAAAAATCAACCCTAAACGCACGCTGCTTGGGAGGGCTCCTTAGCGTGTGTCTATTCGGAGCGTGCGTTTACATGAGCCTTAGCAAAGGGAGGAAGGGACGCAGTCATCTCATTGCCTTGTTATTCTAGTGACCTCCCTTTGGGGTGGGGTCACTGTGGGTCGATAATGTGACGACACGTGACTGTTTTGTGAAAGATTCCCCGACTGCGGTGAAGACTACAAAGGCATTGAATGGGTGTGTGTGTGTGTGTGGGGGGGGGGTTGCAGAAAGACAGACTTGATGTAATGAATGCACCATAAAATGTCGGGAACGTATAGCCTATAAAAGGAAATTGTTGGTAATAGTTACCCCTTAGAGATGACAGCGACCAACCCTGACCGTAAATTCATGAACAAGCATTCACTCGTGTTCCTCATCATAGGCCTACGTCTAACTAACTAAAAACATTACACGCAGTCAAACACCAGTCAGAAACCTTCTCTCAAAGAGATGCATGTCCAGTAACCAATCAAATAACGTTTCTGCCCCCCAAACCCCCAACATTTCACCGACCAGTCCTAGACCTATGTATATGTGTCTGTGGAACGTTGGGTGTGAAAACGCTGTCCATCACTCTCTTTGTTCGGCGTGAGGGAAAGTCTCGCCAAATATCCGGTTTTCTAAGCTTGTCTTACACAAGCTATGCAGATTGTAGTTTGTGGTGAAAATTTCCCTTAGTCAAGGGAAGCAGTCGGCGTGTTTTGCAGATCGGAGCGTGTGTTTACAGGGAGTGACCGTGCGTTTGTACGTCTAAATTATATAATAAAAACCCCATCAGATGACGAAAGCGTGCGTTTGAGCAGATTGTGCTTTTGTATGGCGGGCGTTTAGGCGGAGACTACTTAAGTAAAATGTAAAAAACAAAAAAGGACATCTGGACCTCTGATGCTAGCACATCACTAAAACCAGGGACACCAGCTGTCAAACATGAAACATCAGCAGACATGAGAACAACTTTTGATGGATTGAAAAATGCAACATGTTCAAGGAACAAAATTCCTAATCCATAACCATTAACCAAGACCCCCTAACAAGGGAAACAACCAACTTGTCACTTAAATGAGATTTATTACGGTGATTACTTCCCTTTAGTCACATGGCGAGGCGTTAAATAATACAGTCCGTGCCGGCTTTAAGCACGTTTCGGACTCAAGCCCGCTAAACGGCTCTTACCGAATTTTTGCTATATAAATCCCACCACACGCCTTTAAGCACGGTATCTTCAGCTTCAGGCACGCTTCATTTACAAGACAGTCAATACTTGCATGATGACCCATCAAAGTTCAAACACAGTCTATACTGCAGCAGTGAGTGTGTAAGAGAAAGACAAAGAAACCAAGTGATGGAGAAACACACCACACGAGGGGAGAGGAAGGCAGAGAGATGCACACAGCCGCAGGCATGGACATAGGATTTAGCCTAGGGCAAAGCTACACACAGATGAAAAACACAAAAAGAGTTGGGGAGATGAGAAAAGGAGGCTGGCTGCAGTTTCACCTTTGCCCCTCGTTATCCGATAATCCTGATTATGTATCATGCGCGAGGTGGGATGAAGGCAGTGTTATGAATGTGGCACAGCGGGCAGTGGTGCGCACAGGCAGTGCGTAGGCCTTGTGTGCTGTATCGTGACTGGCCGTCTTAATTAAGTTTTCCTTTCTCATTCGACCACAAAACACAAGAAACAAACAAAAACTACCATGGCGGGTAAAAATGACAGTGCACACTTTTGCGCGACCACTACTTACGAACAAAGTGTAATAACTTAATAAATGTTCAACCTAAAACTCTCTGGATTATGACGATGTCTACCACGCACTCAAGCACGCTTCGGCATTAAGCACGCTTATGCTTTCTCCTGAAGACCGTGCTTAAAACCGGCATTCACTGTATTACTTTGTGAAAAATGAAAAAAAAAAAAAGTGAAAAAACGCCGGGAATCCAAAATTATGCAAATACTGCAGAATTACGCGAAAAAACGCGGCCGCACAATCGCATAATCCGACGGGGACAGTATTTTGATAACACAGTGTAGGAGGATGAAATACTAAATATATACATTACATACACAAGTTATATAATATTACCAGTTTCATGCAGCTTACCAGTGACATTTCAATGTACATATTTTAATTGGTAGAGAACAAAGATAACAAAACAGATTTGAAATTTGGTCACTCCATTGATGGAGGGCGTTGCTGTTAGGCGGACACCACTGTATTGGGAACTGACCAGCTAAGCACCAAACTGTACTATATTGCTGTAAACTGACAAAACGCCTTTTTTCCTTTTCGGTGCCAAATTTTTTTATTTGCTAAATCAAAAGCCTGATCAGTTACCGTACTTGTGTGAAAAAAATCAAAGTGAAACTGTGACTATTTTAAAAAATACATTCAAATTCAAATTTACGAACAACGCCTTTCGTTTAAAAGGTTACGCTAACACTAACACACAAAAAAAACCCCCCTCTTTATCTCGAAACTTCTGCGAAGAACAAAAAAGGCGTTTTGTCAGTCTCTGGCAACGTAGTGATGGAACATTGTCTAGTACTGTGGTTAGTTTTGTCTTGAAAAGAGGGGAAATGATCTATGTCCTGGTCAGGGGATGGCTTTAAAGTGGTATGGCAAGGAAATACCAGTTGAACTTGCTCCTATGGCTACCTGTCAAAGAAAATCACGGGTACAAACAACCACTTCCCTCCTTGTGTCGTCTTTTTATATCATAATGTCCACTTGTCTAAAACAACCACTTTTCTCCTTGAAAATGGGTGGCCATCTTGGACAATAACGACCGAGCACAGAGTTCAAAGAGAAGTGACCAAGTTACATTAGTTCTACTGTGATCTTAATTCTTCACTTTTGACTTATAAAATAACTATGATGTCAAGGACCCCTTGGCCTTAGCAAATTCAAAATTCTCAAGACACAACTCCAACTTATTTTGCAGTGAAAGTTGACTTCATTTGAACTCCTTATTTATTTTTTTTCTTCACAGTCAGTACTTTGGAACTAAAATAAGGAGTAGAGATTGCCATGTATCTCAAAAGTGCCCATTGTGCAATCTTGAAGCCCACAAGTACACGTTTCTGAAACCTTGACAGGGAGACTAAACAAGTGAAAGGGGATCGAACAAAATGTCTTAGAAAGATATCTTAGTGAGATTTTTTACAGCACTTGCAACACAATTAGGTTATACTAAGTGCCGATGATTGGAGGTGTTACAAGAGAGTAACATACACAAAAAAGAAGGACGAGAGATAAGGAAGATAGATATTTGATAGGAAAGAAGGAGCAACCACCTACATGACCTACATTAAAAAGAGAGTATACAAACTAAGTGTGTTCACATTTACAGGTCTCTACTTCATTTACTGACAACAGGTGGACTGACAACATTGCGGAGTGGACAGGGAAATCCTTCGCACAAACTCAGGCGCTCGCAAAAAAAAATCCCAAGAAAAGTGGAGGCACCTGATGAGGCTCTGTCATACAGTACCCGTACGATCCTTGCGGATTAGGGGATCAGTGACAGTAACTTCATTTACCTGATGCAGCAACTGAGGAGATGGATAAGAGTTCACCACTTTTGGCTCTCTGTCATACAGCACCCGTACGATCCTTGCAGATTAGGGGATCAGTGACAGTGACAGTGACTTCATTTACCTGATGCAGCAACTGAGGAGATGGATAAGAGTTCATCACTGCATCTGCCATTTCAGCACTGAAGTTTTTGAACTGCATGAGCTGATGCTTCCACACTTTGGCTAGACCTTGGCCGGACTTGTTCACACTCAGACCACTCGTTCCTTCATCCAGGAAGGAGAACGCACTTTCAAACCTATTCTTTCTGGAAGAAACAAGGAGGGGAGAGCAATTTTTATAAACAATCCAGTCACTATAAAGTAGTTGCTCTGGTGTTTAGCTGCGGTAAAAGTTGTGGTACCATATGCCGAGTCACTCGGAGTGAGGGGGATTTGCAGTCTCATGTATTTCTTATCGAGACATAAAAAAACTGCACAAAGCTGAAAAGAGAAGGAGACTTGTCATCAGTCTTGACACAGAAGTCGTTGTCAAATATGTTCACTTTCATATTCATGCACGACATGTATTTTTATTTTAGTAAAGAAGATGGTATTGTAGAGCCCATGGAGCTGTATTGTACAGGAGTGGGCGCTTTTTGAATGATCTGTATTATTATAAACATCATTACAGTAGAACATGACTACAGCAGGACTTTTGGTCCCAGAAGAAAAATCCGGCTGAAGGTAAGTTCCTGCTAATGGAATTAAAGGAATGCAAAGGGGAAAGACCAAATTTTTAAATTAAAATCCAAATGATTACTTCCCTTCCATACCAATAACATTTGCGTTTTAGATAAGAATTTAGTCTTTCTTTTCTTATTATCGACTTTGTTGATTATCTCGGCCTTTTAATTTGAGTTTGAGTGAGCAGCATTTCCTTTCTTCTTTGATGGAAGTTATCTTTACCTCGGTCTTGTTGCTTGTGCTGTCTATCGTACTGGTAGGCCTACTGCGGAACTGTAGAACCGGTTAAGAGGATGCACGCGTATGCCTGAGCATCAACGATTGCAATCCAATGAATCAGGAATCACACACTACACGCTCTCCTCTTCTTTTACTTTTTGGCCTGGCCTAGGGCTATGGCACATCACTATTGGAGCGGCTCATGTAACGTGTCTCTCCGTCTCCACATCATCTCTCTCTGCCACCAGCCCCAATCTCACTCATCACTGGACTGGCCGATCACAACGCCGCACCGCAGACAGCCTGTTCGGAGCCCGCCTGCAGCCCCCCACCCACCAGCTAGAGCTTGCTTGATCTCTCCCGCTGTATCCAAGTTTGGGTCTTTCCTTGTCCTGTTAAATCCAAGCATAAGTAATTGAGTTTACATATATAGAAAAAAAAAGGGGGACTCCGGTAAGGTCCCTACAGCGGGTGCCGCTATAGTCATGTTTAACTGAATTAACATTATTATCATCATACTTTTACACTGACTTTACCCTATGTTTTTTGTTCTATTCACAAAAACGCATGTGGCGATGACAGTCTTACTTGGCGGGTTTATCCCTCACAGCTTTTGTGTAAAATTTCAGCTGAGCAGCAAGTTCCTCATCATCTGCAACATCTTGAACGACACAGCCAGTAAACAGCTGCACATCCACAAAAGCCTGAGAAAAAACGTGAAAACAAAATTTCATATTTTTTGGACCATTTCTCGCCTTTTTTAAACATCAAGCAAACATAGGATCACAAGAAAACTTTTTAATCATGAGGATAAAAAAAAATGCAAGGGGGTGGGGTGGGGGGGAGATTTTATTTATTACCATTGAAAAGCTAGTTGTAATTTTTTACTGTAGCTTTCCACAGCGACGAAAAGCAGTTAATTTTACTTGATAAGCCTCAAAAGGAGTGACAACGTACCTCCTCAGCGTCCTCAGTAGAGATGCACGGGCCTGCCGGGGTCACCTTTTTCCTTCCTCTGCTTGGTTTCCCTGTCACCAACTCTCTATGCTGCTGTCTATCATTCAGTTTCCGTTTACTGAGAAAGACAGAAAATAGTTTTAATCTTATGTTTTATTTGGCATCACAGATATCACAAGAATGTTCACTATACCCCCAGCGACAAGTCTTGACAGGGGGGCTCTTGTGGCCTAGAGGTTAAGGTGTTGGCCTCTCATTCAAAGGTCCCGGGTTCGAATCCCGGTAGCGACCCCTGAAATTTTTTTTCTCTAAAATTGTCTCCTTTCACCTCCTTTCCTGCTCTCTAGCAATGTCCTGTTGTCTGCTTTTATTCCCACTTTCTGCCCCCACCCCCTCACCTCCTTTGCCCCCTCCTCTGGGCTCCTGACTCTTTCTGCAGCCTTTCTACTGCTACTCCTTGGCTCCTCCTTACTGCTGTCTTTCTGCCACACCCCTGATCTTCTGGTAGGAAAGATCTACACCTAGCCTTCTCAAACAAGGGCGAAAAATCTCGGAGGGCCCGTGTGCAAGTTGAGCACGTTAAAGATCCCTTGGTGGTCTAAAATCGATAAGAGTAAGCTTCGGCCGCCACCCGGGCAAAATTCAAAAATTTCCTACCAACTGAAATTATTAGGGGTGTCCCGTGCGCTCAAATGACCTTATGCAGTTGCGAGCGCCGTAAAACACTTTACAAAAACAAAAGTCTTGACATGTTCAAAGTTAGATATAATGACTTCAGAAGGCAAGGGGCAATATCTCATTATACCAAGATAAGTTTATGGGACATTACATGATTGTAAACTGCCAAGCATCTGCACAAGCATGATCTAAGCGTTAGTTAATTTCTTTGATTTAAGTGATTTGTAGTCAATTTAGAATTATCTTTAAAAGTTAACTGCATAGCATAGCAGATATTGTAAAGTTCTCAGAGACAAGGGGCTCATTAAATAACCTATCAAACTGTACAAATAACAAGCATTGCATACAAAGACTGTTTTCTTATCTCTGCATTCTGTAACTAGATTTCTGGAGTCATTAATTAATTATAGGTTCTTCAACCCATTGCATACTTGATCCCTAAGTAAGATCTAAGTTTTTGCTGAAGATTAACTGACGATCCACAAAATCATATGTGCTTAACGATAAAAAAAAGTAGTAGTAACTATTACCTTCAAACAAACATTTCTTCCGTTTCAGGTGGGGACTAATTTAGATTTTACCTTCGCTTCCAGATAAAGCATCCAGCTTTCAACAGTAAAGGTGTCTTTCAATTCCACAATGTGTACCTAAAACCTCTAAATTTTCCATTCTCATCTAAGAAAACAAGGTGCTCTATCCCACCCACTTTTTGTTTTGTTTTTGTAAAGTGTTTTACGGCGCTCGCAACTGCATAAGGTCATATGAGCGCGCGGGACACACCTAATATTTTCAGTTGGTAGGAAATTTTGAATTCTGCCCGGGTGGCGACCGAAGCCTACTCTTATCGATTTTAGACCACCAAGGGATCTTTAACGTGTGCAACTTGCACACGGGCCCTCCGAGATTTTTCGCCCTTGTTTGAGAAGGCTAGGTGTAGATCTTTCCTACCAGAAGATCAGGGGTGTGGAAGAACCCACTTTTTGATCTGGAGTGTAAGGAACAGGAACGTATAAAAACAAACATATTCAAAGCTATTTTTCAATCTCATTCACAATAACAAGGAGCCAAACAAAGTCCTTTAACTTAATTGGTAGCGTCAACAGGTAAATGTATGAGGCTTACCTAAGAATCCTCCTCCTCATCATCACCGAGTGCCAGATTTGAAGTACACATCAGTCATTATGGTTCGCAATTCATTTCCCTCTCAGACTTTCCAAGAAAACATACATTAACCTGGTCTTCCACTGTCACCCATCTTTTCAAGTTATTTAATTAAGCTGGTCTAGGTCTACCTTTGCCTCTTTTGCCTTCCATTTTTCCAGTGAGTCAAAGATGTTCAAGGCCTTTATATTGATTCAAGGATCCCAGAAACCTCTTAAGAATTCACACAATTATAAAGAAAAACTTTGGTACCGGAAATACTTGGAAAGGCCAATAATGATCACAGTCAGATTCTGTCCACTGAGAGCACTCTGGAGTGACTCCACCCATTTGGTCAAAGAAATGTCATCAGTATCTTCACCTTGTTTCAGCTGTGGAATAAAGAGGCATATTACTATTGCTGACATCGCAAATGAGTTCGCTTTGACTTTGACAATACAATGAAAATAGGATTTTGACACTAAACATATACACCAACAGCAATTTTCGCCATCTAATGGGTTCCAAACTGGGGGTGCATTACCATTCCTATTTAGGTGTGGGTTTTGACAAAGAGCGTAAGGCATACCTATTGTTAAAATTTAACGTAAAACATTTCAAACGTCTAGAGTATTATTTCAGTCTCCCTGAGGAAGCTTTGATATAAATAGTATAATTCTATATTGCATGCTTATTCGGGACAAAAATAAATAAAACATAGCTCCAAATGACTTGTTATAAGAGAAAGGTAACAAAGAGAGAATCTTAAACAAATACAAATAAATTAGTATAAAGAACCCAAAGTAGAAATGAAAATATGAAACAGTCAAATTTTGAGAGACATAAAGTTTGCATACTCTTGAAAATATTTATATAAAATTATAGATGAAATTATTTGACACAAAATAGTTTTCCTATGTCAGTTTTTTTGTCACTTAATTTTTTTTTCCAGACACAAAGTAAAAAGAAAATACTCATCCCATAGTACTTAACGTCAAATTGCAATCTTTCAAACTCATATCCTTACCCACTAAAAGACCATTATTATTGTAAATAAAACAGTTTTAAAGGGTGGAAAAAATAAAAAAAAACCCCAAAACAACACTACTGCACAGTTCAAAAGTTAGTAGTTGGTGTTACCTGCATGTGTGCAAAAATCATGTTCACTGCTTCTTCTGCTTCCAGCAAAGCCACAACTTCTTGCTGGATGTCACTCAAAGCTGACGGCTGTGAATGAATTATGAACAGATTTAATCTTTTAAACATATTCAAGACCTTAACAATTTCGGTAAACTTTGGTGGATCTCCTAACCTAAGGGGGTACATCTTGCTAGGGAAAATTTATTGCAGCTTAAAAATTTTGCCAGTTCCTCAGGGGTATACAGTGGAACTCGGATTCAACGAGGTCGCCGGGCCTGACCTAAAATCTCGTTGAATCCGAGTGTTCGTTATAGCAAACATGAGGTTTTGTGTAGATAAATACAGGCACTGAGCAAGTAATGTATAAAAAGAAGTCGCAAGTAGTGCCTGCAATGCCTGCATATTATGAGCTGTGTAAAAAAAAGACAGATTCGTTCAAATGCACACGCCTGTGTCATCTCGATTGTTTACCAAAAAGTTGGGTAGCTGTGTAGAGCCTAACATACGGCAACTTTTGATTCCATAGATCAGTGCACAATTCATTACGTAGATCTACATCAAGACTAGCTTACTGTTGTTATAATGATCAGTTGCCGAGGGGGGAAAAGGACTGTGAGTGTGACGCATTTGTATCTGCGACATTCAACGCCCGGACTGCTAGTGCCCCCCCCTCCCTCCCCGACACGCACACACAGCCACACGTGTGCAGGCCGCCCATCCGACCCCGACACACACTAGGCCTATAGAGTAGACACGTGCGCGTGCCAACAACGCATGTGTTGGTATGAAAAAAGGCCGCTGATTGATCACATGCAATCGGCTAAGTGAAAAATGGTTCATGATGCAGGTGCAATAGATGGTTTTCTGGAATAGATAAAGTTCGTTCTGGGAGAAAAAGGAGCGCCACGTCTGCGAGGGCTGTTCACCCTGAAAGCGACCTCATTGAATCCAGATTATTTTTATTGATTTTAAAGACGAAAAAAACCCGGGGAATCTATCTCATCTCGTTGAATCCGAGTTCTCGTTGAATCCGAGTTCCACAGTAGTGATTCAACGGCTTATACAGGAGAACATACATGTGCTAGATGTGAGAAATTAATTCATTACACCTAGGGTCAAAAGAGAGTACAAATTGACTAATAACTTACAGGAGCATTCAGTGGAGGACACCATGATATAGTTCTCTCAACCCGTTGAGGAACGAAGTCAATATTGACACCGATATCTTGACAGGCTTTGGTTATGCATTGTCTCCGCTTGTCTGTTGGTGCTGCAGCAGGGTCAACAAAGACTGTAAACATCTGAAATGGAAAGACGAAGATCAGAGATAAAGCAAGGAAACCTAAGTTGGTCGGGTATTAGGGCTGGATTCTGCTCGGTTAATCGAAGGCTTGTAAAGCAGCGGAAGTCTTGCGCTAGAGTCTTGCGAGCAGGCTTGTGGTTTGATTTGCCTCCCGCTTGCTACCGGAGGGAACTTCCGGTGAGTTGTGACTCGCGGACAGTCCTGCTGTACTGTGTCGTGACGTCGCGAACTCTCGTGGCAGTGCGCTCAGTACATATTATAGATTCTCTGGTTATTTGCGTTGAGAGGCTTGCACCAAAAGTGCAAGATCGGTTGTTTTTTTTCATAGTTCGGTTGTAAAAAACAAAAAGCTCTATTCAATGCACTTAAAAATTAATATTGGATCGGCTATTCTTATGATGTTAAGGCCTGTTTATTTTTAATGTGCACGAGCCAAGCGCTTCATCGTCGCACGCAAAAGACCTCAGTTCGATTCCCGTATGGGGAGAAATTTTTACTGAGAACCTCCGTCTTTCTGCTGGGGCCTTGTTCCCTCTCAGCCCAGGTTGGCCCTGACATTGGGTTGAAGTAGGCCTAGCCCGTCTCCTAAATGTTCTGTATTATGTCACTGTGAGTGTAACACATCTACAAAATAGGTTACATACATACGATACAAAAGCCAATCACAACGACCCCTGGAGTTTTCCATTTTAGGGTAATCTAAGTCAACTTATTCTTATTACTACCAGAAACCTAGGTCTCTGTTACTACAATACCACGCTCCCTCTCACTTATCCATTCGCTTAGCTGATCAACGGCGGGAAGTTAAAAATAACTTCAGCTCTCTACGCCTTGCACCAAAACAAGCCCTGCCTCTCCCTTCCTCCACGGTTCAAAGTTCACACAGCGAACAGTACTGTCTTGCTGTTTGAACACATCGGACTGTCTTGTCGCCATCAAGACGGTCCTACGCCATCGAGCCGGTGCCGCTCGCTCGGTGTATCGAGACAGTACAAGTCAGCAGGTCAGGTTTGGAGCTTGTCCTGGGGCAAATCTCTAAGCCTAGCGCAAATCAGTACTGTGTGAATTGTGGGGCCTGTGGCAGCGGACGGGACTTGAGGCTTGCGCAGGCTTCCGATTAATCGAGTAAACTACAGCGCCACGCCGCGCAGTGACTCTGTGGGCGAGATCTCTCACTCTCCCCCCCTCTCTTTTTCTGACGTAAGTGGCTTCGCGGATTGCAAGCAGGGTGGGGATGATGAGGGGGCCTGACACGAGTGGCTTCGCGGATTGCTAGTTGCTGTGGACTTGAAGTTTAGACTAGACCAAGGAGGTTACAGTTTGCGCTAGACTCAACTTATCATGCTGGTGATTTGATTTGATGATTTGACCTAGTGATTTGAGGCTTGTGACTTGAACTAGGGGCTTGTGAGCACGAGCGGGTTTGCTACCGGGGTACAGCCCTATCGGGTATAATAAGAGCTACTACAATATAACAGATGTATTATTGATCATATATATACCAAAGTGTATATTATATGTACCTCCATCAGAAGAAATAGTTGGACTCAGGAAAAGAAAGTACCAATGTTCCGATCTATTTGTGACTTGAATTTTCCATATTTTATCAATTTCATTCCCCTAAATCTTATTGTTCCTTTTTTTTCTGACTTATAAACGAAAGGAGAAAAGGAGAAAGATGAATTTCTATAGTATTTTAAATAACTCTGCTCACCCCTGCAATTTTTTTTCTTCTAAAAAATGTTCAAAGCGCATTAATAAATGGGGTACAAATTTTAAAAGTTTACATGGAAAAAAACCTCACATGCAGTAAGACTAGCAACAATAATGCATACATACCGGTACTAAAATAGAAATAACTGTCAATACAATAAATCTTCTAAAAATATTGAACATTAATTATGTCTTTAAAAACTACTTAAAAATAATTTTCTTAGCAAAATGATCTTGGGAAAAGGCATCTATATTCGGAAAAGAATACTGCTTCCAAAGAGCCAGTTTCAGTTGCAGTGCAGTATGGGCAAGTAATTTATTTCTCCCATTATAATAATTGTGACTATCGGACTATATCAGGGTTTTTCATTTGCTACCTATCAATTTCATCAAGTCAAAAACACATTTACTCCTCTTATTTTGAACTTTCAGGGTGTCTTTGTTTGGTCAAGATCGTTTCATAGGTTGGATCTTCATAATGTACTTTCAAACTTTCCTTGGATTTGCCCAAGTTTCAACTCCATTGCACCCTCCATTTCATCATAATTAGCCTTCTTTCAAAATTACACTGACTATTCCATTTTCTGGGTCAATTTCGATCATTCAAAAACTCAAAGAAAGATAAATAAATCTACTTTCAAGATACTATACAGTCTCATCTACAGTCAATTCTAATCGGACAATAATCCTAGACCTTATCATAGAAATGCATTTTAATACGGCAGTGTCGTGCATTCTCATTCAGCAATTGAAACACATGAAGCTACAGCAAGCACCTAGCTCACCTCTGTGATTGGCCCAAATATAGATGACGTATTTCCGCTATCTATTTTTGTCTTCTTCAAGGGCTTCCCTCATCAGTTGAAAAGATCTCACCGTAATGGGCATCCCGTATTAGCGCGCGATGGACTACGTCACTAGGTTTCATCGCCGACTGCTTGGGCTGTGTGTGGGTGTGTGCATGCAACTTTGAGGAGAAGGTAAATTTATGGAACGAGAATTGTTGAGATTGTTACGATAACCACAAATTAAGACAAAAACAAAACAAACTCGGCGAGATCTAGTCAACATTTAGGCCCTACTGGCGAGGGAAACCCAAGAGTCTTGGGGGAGACCCCGGAAGACGTCAAAAATAGATGGTGGAAATACATCATCTATATTTGGGCTAATCACAGAGGTGTGCTAGGTGCTTGCTGTAGCTAGGTAGCTTCAATGTGATTGATACGCCTAGCAATGCTTCTCCAGGTGCAAATCGATAGGCTCCGTGCAACACCGCTCTAGGTGTTAAAAGGTTAAATGGATAAGTTCTCTACCTAGAATCGAGAACAATAATCTAGAACAGTTAATGCTGTATTATAATATTAGAATCTAGTGGTTTGCTGATTGGTGCCCAAGACAAAGACGTCACAGTCAAACAGAATCTGCTGAGTGTTGACAGTCTGAGTAGCCGAGGTCTGGGCTCAAATACGACACATAAACAAAATTTTACGTCAATAACATGGTCAGGCTTTTTGCTAATCTTTGAATGAGAGATTGGTTCAGAGACAATACCTCAAGATCTTGATATCAAGACTTACAACTGGTCCTAAACTCAAAACCAAATCAATCACAGCCGTCAACCACCTCTCTACTCCGTCAAATTTCTAATTTCGCGGTGAATATTGTTGTGTAGTGTGTAGTACAGTCGGCAGCAGTAACAACGCAAATCGGTGTCGGTCTCAAATTCCGGCTTTATTTTCTTTCGCTTTTTCCTTTTTCATGCCTTCCTCCCCGGCCTCCATTCTCCCTCGCTCTCCTCCCCCCCCCCCTATCTCTCACTTTTGCTAACTTCCCCGTTCCTATTCTCATGTCTTCAGTTTTAAATTTTTCTGCATGTCCATTCTTTGTCTGACTCCCTTTCTCTTTTAACCCCCCCCCTCTTTCTCCCTCTATAATATATGGGCCTATCAAGCATATTATGGAACAAACGGCCGCCGGTCCTTAATGAGGTCGTCATGATCAGAGAACATGTGATCAGAGACCAAGGTCAGAAACGACATTCGCGGCAATTGTTTCTTATGAGATAATACATCAGCAGTGGTGATAAAAAAGATAAACATAATTAATTATTTGTTCTTCGGTTGACACTGTTTACAATATAGCCTATTTTAGACCGTACCAACGTTCGTACGCTATTGTTTACAAACTTGATTTACTAAATCTTGCTGATTGCATGCAACAGCTGTGTTCATTCGTTTGACTTTTAAAAAACATTACCGTTCCTCTTTTTGTAAACCTTAATTGGAGATACTAGGCCTACGTATAAGGCCTACAGCTGAAAAAACAACAACATTTGAGAAGCCAAAAGCACAAGGTACGCTATTGGCTAGGCCTACGTATTTTAAATTCGGTTGCCAATGGCAAAACATCGTGACACCTTGGGTATCATTTTAATACATTCTTGAAACTTTATTTGATTAGTCCATACAATCCTGCTATCGTTGATGCCAATTAAGGAGTAGATGTGCGTTGTTGGATAATACATGTAGTTAACTGTTAGGCCTATAGTTTGTTTCCTTATTAATATAGTGAGCTGTCATAATTAGATCTAGGCCTATTTATTGATAGGCTACGTAATAATGACAACCATCATTGCACCCTGTCTACTATACACGCTCATAAAAGCTCGAAGATCGATTAATATAATTCAGGGATAGTGTACTTTATATTATTATGAACTGTTTTTCCTGAGTATAGCGAAACCATATTTCGCTCTTTTTGTGAATTGTTGATTTTTATTAGGATTTTATTTTATAATAATTGCAAATAGAATCTATAGGGAAGTGCTGACATGTGAACAAACTTCTTTCTTGGGGAGAGAAAAGAGGTTTCGCGGAGAGCATAGGTCTAGAGTTAAGATCCTTTGCGGAGAGGAAGAGACGGGCAGCGAAAATAATTAAATCTAGTTTTAGCCCACCAGAGTAGCGTCCCTTTACAGATCAGTTTATTTTATGATGCCAGCAAGTCAAGCAAGTGCTGAGAAAACAAGGCAGACAGAACCACAGACATTGTAAAGCGGCTAGGCCTATCATCTTCTAAACGGTTTTGTGGGTATAATATTCAATACATTTTGAGTGTGGTGTATGCTCTTTATTTGTTACACCAGTGTTGACCATGGATAAGCTTCTTGAAGCCAGTGTCATCTTCGTGATGCTTGTACATCTATTTGCATGCCCATACACCAAAGTAGAAGAGAGCTTCAACATGCAAGCGACGCACGATATCCTGAATTTTGGACTGGACATTGACAAGGTAAATACTGTTGTCGGAGTCCAAAATGCATTTAGATATCTAGATCTAGGTCTTGGTATTTTTTCCTGAGCAGGATTCAACAGATACGGCAAGATGGCAGCATGCAGAATGCAGGTGATTGAGTCATTGGTTTGAGCATCGTCTGCTTTCTCATAAAATACAAGACAGACATGGTTCATGGTTGTTCTTTATGATGAAACAGGATTATAGTTCTAGATCTAGATCTATATACAGTTGAACAATAGATAAATGGAATTCGGAAAACTCAAATTCATGGACTGCTCAAGCAAATGTGCCATCCCACAACAGTATGAGGACTGAATCCGAACCGCTACACTTTTTGTATTGGCACCACTGTATTCTCGAACACCCGTATGGATATGTCGAGCAGCTCTTCTCGTCTGAGGGTAGCTGCTAAGTGGTGGGGGTATGGTTGAAGACTGCCGCTGTGATGCTACCAGTGTCTGTGGTGTAGTGGTGAGGCGCTCCGCTGTCGCACACAAAGGAGATCCTGGGGGGGGGGGGGGGGGGGGGGGGTGCATAGTCTGAAACCAACTGGTTCCCACTTGGTACAATAAAAAAAATGGTTTTATGCCTAACAATTAAAAGACCAGTAAACAAAAAAAACAAAACAAACAACCCCCCCCAAATAAATAATAAAACGAAGCGTCGGTGGCCTAGTGGTTAGGCTCTCGGACTCGCAACCGTAAGGTCATGGGTTCGAATCCAGTCAGGGGCCCGACGTTGTGTCCTTGGGAAAGGCACTTTACACGAATTTTCCTCACTTCACTCAGGTGGGAATGGGTACCCGGCAAAAGACAGCGAAAGATCTTGTCAGTTTGTTAGTGTTTGAGCGCTTAATCAGCTGCTTGCACTGTATGCTTCCCGGGAAGCTGAGAATGTTTCGAAGTGTTCTATGGTTTGCTGGGGTAATAATATAGTGTAAAGCGCACAGAGCCTGCTGTTGCGCGGGGGTATGCGCTATACAAATGCTATTTATTATTATTATTGTACAGACCCGGTAACAGGGAACGAAGTCACGAAGTATACAGACCCGGTAGGGGAACTCTTTTGTGATTTCGGAAAGTTTCAGCACCCAGACCCGGTAGTGTGTTTTTGTGTGTGTGTGTGTGAGAGAGAGAGAGACAGAGAGAGAGAGAGAGACAGAGAGAGAGAAGTGCTAGCAAAATGTATGACATGCCCCAGTTGGCAGGAGGGAACGAGAAAAATATAGGGTGGGAAATAGGTGGGGAGAGAGAAAGACAGAGGCAAACAAAGCAAAAGAGAAGGCGAGTGATACACAGAGGAGAGAGAGAGAGGCAGAGAAATAAAAAGGGTCACTGCTCGATTGAAATTATGCATTTTTCTTTTCTTCAAATTGTGATTCCTCCAACTCCAAAACGGAGGAAAAACGATTGTTCATCGAAAAGACATCCGCAATCTTCATTAAGATCTAGATCTAGGCTAGCCTCGAAACTAGATCAACGATTTATGTCTGTCTGTCTAGATCTAGACCTAGGCCATAGATCTAGAAGAACCTAGGTCTACCCTGAGCCAAGAGGGCGCTGAAACTTTCAATTACTTTCCGAAATCACAAAAAAGTTCCCCTACCGGGTCTGTATACTTTGTGACTTTGTTCCCGGTTACCGGATCTGTATACACTCCCAAATAAAAACCTCTGAAAAGACCTCCTTTTACCCAGTTCATTTTGTAAGGGAAGATCATTCTACCAGTTTGGGTCTGACCATGAGTCACAGTGGATTCTTTCCCTTGATGGTTCGGCTTCTACGGGGTGCCCACTACAGCTGGATCGGCCGATCGCCCGACTCCATCGCCTGAAACTGAAAACAAACACGTTTGTTTTTGAGGCGATCGAGTCGGGCGATCGGCCCAATCGGCCGATCCCATCCGTAGTGGGCACCCCGTATAAGGTAGGTCCCATTTGCCCACGATCCCGTATTTTCCTTGCTCCCATACACTTGGATCATAAGTGGAGACAGCTGTGTGCATAAAAAAGGTGTGTTTATGCAGGAAGCTAACAAAAAACATTTCACATCGCACATGTCATCCATGACGTTACATGACATGATTGTAGCTCGTTTGTATTTTTCTGCAGTATGATCACTTAGAATTCCCGGGCGTTGTTCCACGGAGCTTCATAGGACCCTTGTGTATTGCTGCGGTTTCTTCCCCTTTTGTTCTGCTGAACAACATTACAGGAGGAAACAAACTTGTTCAACAGTATATTAGTAAGTATGGTACACATTATTGGTTTAGGACAAGTAGAAATATAGTCTGTAATTGGTTAAATGAAGGTAAAGAAGGGTGGTGCTTTTATGTTTGATAGCCCCCCCACCAACCCCCCCCCCCCCCCATAAAAAAACAACAACACAAACAAAAAACTTCCAAAAAATGAAAAGTAAGAATAATAATTAAATCTAAATAACTTAAACAATAAAAATATTTTTAACAAATATGAAAATAAAAACAAAAGATAATTTTTAAAAGTAGCTAAATTGACTTTAAAAAAAGGAAATTATAAGTAAAATAAGTTTTAAAAGAATTAAATAAATTTGTCATCATTTTGTGATACAATAGTCAATAGTTTGGGGAATTTGCAGGGGGGGGGGGGTATTTGAAAGGCATCATATTATTATTGTAATGTACAGACACCTCATGATTGTTTCGTTAACTTTAAGCAATGAATTTTTATGTGCTTGGTATTATTGATTATTGTATTTTGATATCCTGTTTTGCCAAGACTTTTAGAAATTTATGAAATGGGTGAAACAACGAGGATGTAATATGAGAATAACGATAATAGCAGCAGATACTTGTAGATCTTATTTCTACGCTGCTCTATTGGTTTTTTTATTTTCTTTGGTGGGTTCTTTCCCAAGATTAAAAAAAACCAACATGATGTTAGTATTCTTCTTTATCAAGATGTGGTTTTATCCAAAATCAAAATACCATTAAAAAGAGTAAATGATCTTGAAGAATTAAAGAACACAACAATGACAGTCGAAGTGGATAATTGCTGATACCATAATCTGACATTCCGTTATAATCCTTTGTCTTGTTTCTTTTTCAAGCCCGAGCAGTTCTTGGCCAAGCCACTTCTCTGTCATTCTTCCTTTTCTGCAATGCGATTGAATCTGGCTTCGGGAAAAATGTGAAAAGATGGCTGATCCTGATTACCATGACCCAGTTCCACTTTATGTTCTACATGTCAAGGCCGCTGCCTAACATCTTTGCTCTCAGTATGGGTAAGATTGCTGCTTTTATGAGTTTTTTTTGTTTTGAGAATGTCTGTGTTTAGTGCTTGTATGAAGTGTATCCTTTCCTGTTGTGTTTATTTTCTTGTTGTTTCAAATGTATGTGCAACCACTATTTGAAGTGGTATGTTGTTAGAATAAAGAAAAGATTTGTCAGGAGAATGTATCCATATATATATATATATATATATATACACAAAGTTTTTCTCTACAGTGGCAAAAATTGTTTGGCTTCCATTATCAGTAGCTTTTTGTTATTGTGATTAATTCATTTTTAGTAATTGTACCAACTTATCTGTTCAGTGAATTTGCTTTTTTATTTTGGCTGTTTGCTGACATTTCACGATGTAATGAAGTGTTAAAAGGGCACTGCTGCCATCACAGCTTTTCCACTGAGATAGAGACTGTATTAAAACCATATTTGTAGGATTATTTTTCTTTAAAACTATTTTGTAACCATACGCAACTCCAACACTGTTACGCTGAAAGCTATTTTAGATTTCAGTTAGCTAAAAATTTTTAAAATCCAGTTTGTGATTCCCCCCCCCCCCATCCCTTTTTAAAAAAATAATAAATTTTTCTTTCTTCCCACAACCCAGTGAGCTTTTCATACGTTTGGCTGTGACCTCTTAATTTTGTGATTTGTTTTGTAATAGCAGTTTGTATATAAATTGGTAGGTGGTTGGCGGGTGCTCTGGTGTGGTTTGCTCCTTCTTTCCTATCAAACATCTGTCGTCCTTATCTCCCCTCCTTCTTTTTTATGTTTGTTGCTCTCTTGTAACACCTCTAATCTTCTGGTGCTCATATGACCTTATGCAGTTGCGAGCGCCGTAAAACCTCTACTAAACCATCGTATATAAATTGTTGGACTCCACAGTATTATGTCTATTGATTTAACTGAAAATGAAACTGAATTTGTTCTTATTGCCACTGATGTCCTTTTTCAGTTCTGTTGGCTCTGACCAGCTGGTTGCACCAGAAACACAAGCTGTTCATCTGGCTGTCCGGGGCAGCGGTTGTCCTCTTCCGCTTTGAGCTTGTCATGTTTTTGGGGCCCATTCTGCTGCAAGAACTGGCTGTTGGGAGACTGAAGTTTCCCAGGTTTCTTAAAACGACTATGTTGGCCGGATGCTTTTGGCTAGGTAAGTTTTTTTTTTTTTCTGTTTATTATTGTTTAGTAGTTGTTTCAGTTGTGAACAGTCGAGGTGTTAAGTGAAATTCTGGTCTCATTAGTTGTGAAGGGTTTTCAATTCTTGTCGAATTTCCATATTTTGTAACTGATTCCAACTTCAGATTTTATGAGCTCCAGTTGCCGAGTATGTATAGTATCACCATGAATCATATGGGAGATACATTGGTATTGAATAGGAAAATATTGTGGAATGTTAGTTTACCACAGAATTTTATAGTGCTTTAGCTGATTGTATAAAGTTTTTTCATGTCAGAAGATTGAAATTTTAATAGTTGAAATTATCTAAGACAGTCACCCGTTGTCGAGGAGAAAAGTGGTCATTAGCAGGGCTTGAATTAGGTGTTCAGGAGGGCAGGCAAAAATTGCCTTGGTGGGGCCTAAAAATCAGGGGGAACCGAGGCAATTTGCCAGGGCACCAAGGCAATAATTATAGGTGATCATTTTGTTGATTAAAGTTGGTAATACTGGATCGTGCATCACAACGTTTATAACACCAATACAATTTATTCTTGCTCTCAACAAAAGTATGGAGTTATTGGAAAATTTGTAAAATCATGAATGAGAACTAAGTAAATCACTAGATGATCAGAATATTGAAAATATGTTGGCACACACAATATAGAAAAAGACTGGCTTACTGTTTGTCCCTTATGGGAAAACACAAGTTTGTTTAAAAAGTATCACCAGAGAAGATGATTTCAGGGAATAGTGCTGTATTATCAGGACGTCTATTTGTGAGACACATCTCTTGCCACTTGGCAATGCAGGGTTCAGGGTTGAATTCTTTGATCTCAGGACCTTTGGGACATATAGGCATGATCTTTTCAAGCATATTTCTGGAAAGCAAATGCTGTCAGTCACCAAGGATGCGCCTCTTCAAAGAAAACAGGGATTATATATATGAGCCAAATGAAGCAGATTGGGAAATTTCCTTGCTATTTTCAAGACTGAACTTGTCTTGTTCTCACTCAGAGGTAATAAGCCCTGACTTTTGGAGAGAATCATGAGCCACTCTTTCTTTATTTTCAGTGTTGAGCATCCTTGGTGTTGAAGCACAGTCTCATAATGAGCTATCAAGTCATCCATCTGTGTCTCACCATATTCTTTCAACTCATCCATTTTGTCAGTTTCAGGCACATTTGTCCTGTCAAATATCCCTGCACTCCCAAAACTTTATCTTCTGATGTGCCAGAAAATCTTTCTTCCAAGCACAGCACAAGCTTATCCAACACATCTTTCATGTTTGTAATCATCACACTTGCACTTTCTTTCACATCTGCAGTCTTCTTTCCATCCAGATCTTTTTTCGGACACTGCTGAGGTTTGGTTAATGTGAGTGTTTGCACTTGCCATGACAAAATGGACACAATGGTCAAGCTGAGCAGTGTCTGACTGAAGCTTTGATGAGATTTCAGACAAATCTAACGGGATGTGTTCATACCCCCCCCCCCCCCTCTCTCTCTCTCTCTCTCTTCCACGAGTGTCTCTTAACTCCATTCCGGAGTCCCATACTTCGCGACGTTCAGACTTTGAATGAACTTTGGTGACCCCAACAACCGGTGCTCACACGATGTCGTATCTTGTGGCTAAGGTTCACTGAACCTGCCACGGTGGCGAACCCGACAAGACGCTTGTATAACTTTCTTTTCTTTTTTTTCTTCCAAAAATGACAGCACAGGACAAATATTGATTTATTTTCAAGGTGGTACATTTAAAAAAAACAAAAAAACAAGGGCACTGCAAAAATTGCCGCGGTTAACCCTTTGATTTTAAGGGCATTGCGGCGAATTGCAAAGGCACCAAGGCAAATTGCCGCGGTGCTGCGGTCTATTTCAAGCCCTACATTAGAGACAGTTGGACATCTTACTCCGTGTCATTGAAACGTAAAATAATGCGGGGTGGGAAACGTAAAATAATGCGGGGTGGGAAATGGGAAGTGGCTGTTTGTACGGGTAATTGTTTTATGCTGGTGACCTTTACAGCAGGTTCAACTGTGTTTCACAAAAAAACATCAGGTTGGCTTAAATAGTATGTTAAATTCAGTTCTTGTCTCTGCTGTGTTTTATTTCATATTGAAATATATTGTTATTTGATTTTTTTCTTTCTTCATCCCGTGGCAGGCTTGACCGTTCTGGTGGACTCGTTTTTCTGGCAGCGCTGGCTGTGGCCGGAGGGGGAAGTCATGTGGTTTAATGTTGTGCTGAACAAGAGCTCTGACTGGGGTGTATCCTTTTCTGTTGGTTCTCTTTAGTTTAGGGTCTTCTGTGGTGCTTTTTTCTTTGAATATATTATGTAAATGTTGTCTTTTTGCATTCCTAAGCCTGTCTCAGTGAGACTTGCATAGTGTTTGTTAATTAAAGAATATGCACAACTGACAAGAAATTATGTTATGTATGTTGTCTTTCTTACCACAATGTGTAAAAACTGAGATACGGGTACCATAAAGTGTTTTTCTCAATTATTGAATTCTTTATGACTGGTTATTAATTCCTAAGCATAGTATAGTCTAGCTTAGTGAGATTTGTTTATGTGTTTTGCAGTAGAAAGCGTGTATAAAATATCAATGGCTGAATGCCAGTCTCGACAAATGCCATTTTGCACTCTAGTGTTTGTTGGAGTCTTTCTCCCAGCCATCAGTGTGCTAATGTTGTCTTTCTGCATTCCTAAGCTTATCCTAGGGAGATTTGGGTATTGTTTTGCTAAAGAAAGTTTGTACAAAATTATATGCAAATTGTAGTATCACTCTTTAGCCAGATTGAAGGCGCAAAGCAGCTATCGTGGCACAAGCCGATGGTGCCTGACTCTTCACCTAAAAAACAAACGTGTTTGTTTTCAGGCGATGAGTCGGGCGATGGACCCGACCGTACCTGACCCGACCCGATCACCCGGTATTACAGCCCAACTCATGTATATTTCCCTCACAGGTTTAACTGTCTGCTTTTTCCGCTATATTGAAATGCCAGAGGCCGGCCTATACTCAGGCTGTTTTGCTTATCTCTCAGTGGAGTTTGAACTGGCTAAGTTACCTTGTCGGAATGTTTTAGATTTTTATAGCATGGCTGCTGGTGTCCGGCATTACTAGAGAACTCCACTTTGGAAATTGGTAACATGGTTGTCAGTATTAAGCATTACCAAAGAACTCCGTCTTGGAAATTGGTAACTTGGCTGTCAGTATTTAGCCTTAATAAAAAAACTAAAGAACTCTGTCTTAGAAATTGGTAGCATGGCTGTCAGTGTTTAACATTACTAAAGAAACTCTATCTTGCAAATTGGTAACATGGCTGTCAGTGTTCAGAATTACTTAAAAATTCCAAACCCCTTAACCATTCAAAGACATCGCCGTTCCTGTGGTACTTCTACTCGGTACTGCCGCGAGCCCTGTCGGCCACAGTGATCCTCATCCCCGTCGGAGTCTACCTCACCCGCCAAGTGACGGTCTTGCTGTGGCCAGCCCTTGGCTATATCCTGCTCTTCTCGTTCTTGCCTCACAAGGAGCTGCGCTTCATCCTCTACACCTTCCCTGTGCTCAACACTGTTGCAGCCTGTGCTCTGGCTACGCTGTGAGTGCTTCCCGTACTGACTAGTGAATCTCCAGAGAACATTTCATCACTGTGTTAGCAAAATGGCATGACTCAGAGTTGTGCCAAAATGCAGCTAGCCTTTCATTTTGTTTGGTGGTACTGCATTTTTCTTTTGGTAAACTTAAAACAAAAATGCGCTGGCTGTCACAAAAGAAAAGTGCGTAACAAGTTTTTACCTTATTAGATAAGGTGATAAATGGTCTAGTTGAACAGCTTTTTCCCCATTTGTCTCAAAAGTATAAAAAATGAGATGTGCCATTTTGCTAGCGCAATGATGAGTTGTAGATTTTTATTGTTAATTACTCGCTGTTTGTCAGGACGAAGCTTGAGTTACTGAATGTGGTTCAGATTGAGGTGTTTTCCTTGTTTTTATGTCATACAGCGTTACTCAAATCATACAGGAGAGGACTTGACATGATCACGAAAACTTTATAGTTGTGTCATAGATCTGTTTTTCCGGGAATTTAACTCGTTTTCTTGCTACCCCTTTTATAATTATTTTTTTCATTTGGGCAGGCAAGTTTATTGAGATATGTTAATAGCAGTTTGTGTGCAATCTAATCAAAAGCATTTAGGGAATTTCTTATCTCATAAAGTTGAATAAATCACATTACCTCATTTTTCATGGGACAACTCTGATAGTTGTGATGTGAAGAGACGTGGGGGGGGGGGGGGGGGGGGAGTGAGTGAGAGAACAAGTGTGTGCGCGTGGGTGTTTCTTTTGACTGTTTGAACAGTAGCGAGTGAATTGTGGGTAGTACATGGGTTCCCTGGTGTGGTTTGATTTTTCTTTGCCAACGAACGTCTATCGACCTTATCTCTCCCTCTTTTTGTTGTTTGTTTCTCTCTTGTAACACCTCTAATCTTTTACCACCTAATTGTGTTGCCAGTGCCATAAAACGCTTAGTAACCAAGCAAAAATTGAGTGAAATCTGATTTATCCTTTCAAACTTAAAACGAGTATGGTGTGTTTCAGATGGCGGAACAAAGAGAAGTCTCTGTCTCGACGATTCCTCGCCTTAGGCTCCTCCAGCCTGCTGCTAGGCAACGTGCTGCTGACCACAGGCTTCCTCTACATAGCTCACTACAACTACCCGGGGGGCGCAGCGCTCAGACTGCTGCATCAGCTGGAGGAGAACAACTCAGGTAATGCTGGCCTCGGATTTATTGAAATGAACTGCCAAATGTTGTTTTTCCTGTGACTGTGAAATGAACTGCTGAATATTGCTTTAGCTCTAATTTTGAATAAATGGGCGGCAAGATTTTGCTGTACTCTAATTTAGAGTAAACAACTTTTATTTCACTCAATTTTGAATTATTACATTTTTTTCTTTTTTGAAATTTTAGATGAACTACACAATTTTGTCTTATTCTTGGTTTTGAAATTACCATAACATTTTTCTGTTATGTAATTTTAAGTGAACTACAAAGGTTTACCTCATTCTTAATTTTGAATTTGCTACATTTTCTTTTCCTCTAATTTTGAATGAACAACACTAGTTTATGTAGGAAAATAACTCAGAGATAATGTTTTACTCTGATTGCGAATGAATTACAACATTTAATTTACTCAAAGTTAGAATGAGTTAGAAAATTTTTTTTAAAGGCTATGTTGAAAAGAATAATATTTAAGAAGTATGTTATTTTGCAAGTTACTTGTATGAAAGTGGATGTTTTTGTAAAACTTCACATCTTCAGGACATATGATATGAGTAGAATACTCTCTAATCATGGCTTGTGTAACGGTTATTGACTCGCGCCTCCCTCCTGCAGCATACACTCCTATATGCAACAGGGAACAAATAGTGAAGGCCTTTTCCCCTCCTCAATATAGCATAGGAAGAGTGCATTTGCAGCTGTTTTAGTCAGAAAATATTTGCTTTTCTCGTCAAATGTCTGTTTTAGTAGTAATCAGTTTTAATCAGCAGTAGACACTTACCACAGCGACAAGTGGAATATATATATAGATTGGAGGGCACTGCATCTTGGTCATACTTCTTTACTTTCCTGTTTTCGTTTGTCTCTCTGTCTGCCTTGCTGTTTTTCCCCAGCACTAAGTGACCGTTATTGTATCGCCGTGTGCTCCTTTTTACTCCGACTCAAGTTGATACCACTGTATGTTTCAGACGTTCATGTTCACATCGATGTCTTCACTGCGCAGACAGGAGTGACCAGGTTTGGTCAGCTCAGAGATGACTGGATGTAAGTTACGATTGTTTCGTTTCTTCTCTCCAGCATGGCGTCTCTCTGGACTTTTTTTAAAAAGTAGAAAAAAAATTGTATAGAGATATATACATTTGGGAATTGGGTCAAGTCAGGTTGGTTTGCTAGCCAGATTGAGGGCGCAAAGCAGCTATCGTGGCACAAGCCGATGGTGCCTGACTCTTCACCTCAAAAACAAACGTGTTTGTTTTCAGGCGATGAGTCGGGCGATGGACCCGACCGGACCTGACCCGACCCGATCACCCGGTATTACAGCCCAACTCATGTATATTTCCCTCACAAGTTTTGGTTCCCCCAGGCCCAGTGGCGTTTATTTCCCCTCACACTCTGTTGCCCACTTTTACTGTAATCCAGCTCTAGCCAATTAATTGTCCCTGAAAAACATTCTACAGGTTATCTTCTAAATCTTCAGAGAAAAGCTGTATAGAATTTTTTTATGTTTGCAAAAAATTTCAGGCACAATCAGAATTGGCAGGGCCTGAGAAAGTAAGGCTCCAGTAATACCTGGGTCAGAGAAAAGTGAGGGCTAAATATGGCCTGATGCTAGTAAGACTTCAGCATTGGCAGTCCATTTTGTATTACATTAATCTGCCTATGGCTCATGCTTCTTTTACCTCGTTATGAATCAATCGTACTATATATTTTTATATACATATACATGTATTTGTTCGTCTTGACTCAAACATCAACAGTTTGAGCTGAAATTTGCCAGGAATTTTTGGCTTTGTAAGTAGAAATTTCTGGTTTTGAGACAACACTGTACTTATTAAATTATTTTGTGAATAAATTTTTATAAATTCTGAAAAGTAGACTTTTATTACCTGACTAATATATGACTAAGTGAAATGTGATGCTAGTAACAAATCAACGCTGTATTCACTTTTTGCTATAATGTTAGTTCCATGGCAAAATCATCATGAAAATTGCCAACAACAAAGTCCCAGTGTCGAGCTGGAGGCCTGAGAAATTTTTTTTCACTGTTCTTGTCTTGTTTTCACTGCTGTCCTTGTGTAAAAAAAATGGTGAAATGGTATGGGTTTAACGCCTCTATCAACACTATTAGGTTATTTAAGAGGCGGGACCTCCTAGTTTAACGTCCAGTCCGTCTCCGATAGGACCGAGCCAAGTGGGAATTTCGTGTAAAGTGCCTTTCCCAATGACAAAACGTCGGACCGAGCTGAGGCTTGAACCCCCGAACTCGCAACCTCATGATTACGAGTCCGGTAGCATAACCACTAGGCGCCACTGTCTTTGTGTGTTTATGTGTATACGATTAATGTATAGCTGTGACAGTTGTTCCTTATGTGGTAGAACTGGTTTTCTTGTGCATATGAAACGTTTTATCTTGTGTGTGTGTGAGGTTTTACTGTCAGCAATCATGTCATCGATGTAAAGCGCTCAGAGCTTTTATACTTGTATTGGATAGAGCTGTAGAGCTGGTAGTTTGTGGATGCTCTGATAGGTTTGGTCCTTCTTCCTTATTAAACATCTATAATCCTTATCTATCCTTCCTTTTTACGTTTTTTACTCTCTTGTAACGCCTGCAGTCTTCAGCACTTATATGACCTGATTATGTTGCAAGTGCCGTAAAATGATTACTAAAAAAAACCCCACAGCTATCATCCTTATCTCTCCTTTTTTTGTCTTTGTTACTTTCCTATAACACCTCTAATGTTCGGTACTTATATGACTTTATTGTGTTGCCAGTGCTGTAAAACTTGTACTAAAAACTGAAAAGCGCAATATTAATGAAATCCATAATTATTATTATTATTATTATTAGTATTACTACTACTACTATTGTTATTATTGTTATTGTTATTATTATTATTATTATTATTATTATTATATTAATTATTATTATTATTATTGATGCTATTATTATTACTGTTATTGTTATTATTATTGTTACTCTGTCCTCAGATACAACAAAACAGAAGACCTGGCCCCGGGCGGAGTGGACATGCAATCATTTACTCACCTCCTCATCGGCGCACCTAGTGAAGACAGCCATGAGGTCACAACGTTTTCCCAGACTCATTCTGTGCAAGCCAAAGTGGAGGCGTTTGAAAGGATAAAGTTTGACAAAAATTTGCTCCCTCCGCTGCAGTTGTCATTTACAAACAAATGTTTTTTGTTGAAAAAGAACACGGTTGGAGCGTAGCGGATCCACGTGCTTGAGACGTTTTAGAACGTGCTCCCATTCCTAAGACGCATCTCAGCTGTGTTAGCATTTCTAAGTGTTCTAGTTACTTGTATCTCAATCAATCTTCGAAGAAGTCAACTGATATTCACATTGGCCATGGTGGTTATAAAGGGGTCTCCGGCTAATAGCACGCACCTTGGGTGATAAGAAAAGCATACGCTTACATTGTGAACATGCTTTTAACTCTTTCACTACCAGGAGGTTCTTCTCACATGGACTGGCCCTTATCTGGGACCTACTTCCAGATTCTTCCTATCCTTAGACAAATTAAAGCTTTTGAGTTCAATTTTCAATTTTAGCCACATGTATCATCGTATATGAAAATGAATGGGAGATAATGACCTATCTCAACATGTTGCTAAAAATGATAGTTCTTCAGCCTGAGATTTCAGTTTTGATTATTACAAGAGTAGAACTGGTTTTGAAGCAGAAAGTGGAGAGCTGTGACACACGGCTTGTGGTCAAGTGTTGGGAGTAACATGAGCTGTGACACACGGCTTGTGGTCCAGTGTTGGGAGTAACATGAGTTGTGACACGCGGCTTGTGGTCCAGTGTTGGGAGTAACATGAGCTGTGAATCACGGCTCGCGGTGGTGAAAGAGTGAAGTAAATTTCTAAGTCTAAGGGGAGTAATCTAGAGGTAGTATTCTGTTGAATTTCATTGGTTGATGTGTATGACCGTAGCATCTGATCTCCTGCAGCGAGTTGCACCTTTGAGCTGATCTCACCCAAAAGTGTGAAGTTTTCCTATAATATAATAATGATAAGAATTAAATTCATATAACGCATATCCACGCTCTACAGCATGCTCTATGCTCTTTACAACTATTATTACCCCAGCAGACCCTAGAACACTCAGAAACATTCTCGGCTGCATGGAAAGCATCTATCACAGACAATGACTATCATAATCACAGAACAGCCCTTTCACACTGTTCGGCTGCCACGCAAGGGCAGTCACTGGCTTTCCTCTTTACGCAATTCTTACTTCTTTCGCCATGTCCCTATATGTCTTTTTTCCTTTCTGGCAAAGCGTCAATTTCAAGTAATAAAGAAGGGCATGCAATGTTTGCTTTGCTTCCATCAGTTCCAAGCAAAATGAATCACTGTGGCTGATCTGTTTCTGACACCAAACGCAGGAGCAGCTGCGCTATTAGATGGAGTTGTCGATTTGGAAACTGCACTTACGAGTGATGATTATATAAGAAATATTTGGTCCCACATAGCCAGCATTTTTTAAGGGGGATTGTGCTTTTATCTGGCATGCTATTAGCCGCAGACCTTTGTTATGCCTTACAGCATGTACTGTTTTTTTATTTATATTATATCTCAAGCCATTGAACTTTGATGAATTCAAATTTGTTTTGGATGTTAAATCATTGATTTAAAAAAGTTACATATCCTGGTTTATCCCCCTCACAGGTAAATGTGTTCCTACTAATTTCTATTGCAACTTTGTTTTTTGGTCCGTGGCCTGCTGTTTTGCTCTCTGATGTGGTGGTCGTCGTGTTCCTCTTGTCATAAGATTTAATGTGCGACAAATAATGTTTTGGTTAATTTTACATTGTATTTTGTGTGCTCGGTCGGTGTGGACTTACATTTTTATGTGCCCCAGGTGTTTCTGGTAAGAGCTGACCGCCGACATTGTTATGTATATCTTAAGTGGTGAGATGATACTAGTTCACTGCTTCCTTTGTTATGAAATCCTTTCGTTCGCTTGACTGTTAAATTTGTGTTCTGTACTAGAGCTGTGCCCATTTGACTTTACTATTCAACATTGGTGATTTTTGCACTATTCAAAACTATTTGAAGTGTGATAGACCCATTTGAATACTGTGTGATTTTTCATGGATAATGGATTTTCGTCTCATTTTCCTCGAACTGTAGTAAAATAAGAGAATGCTATATCTAAAATCATTGGGGTAAATACAGCATTACTTTGCACCTGATGATTTTGAGACAGTATTAAGTGGAGCCAGTAAGAGTTATAAAGCATGTTTCTAAGAGATATTCACAGCTACATGTATTCTTTATTCACTGGTCACACCAGGAATGGCTCAAGAGCACTTTACTCTCGGAGCTTAGCAACTGTATAAAAAAAAATCTAACAGTAAGCTGTCGCAATGAACTCCCCTTCCCATATTTGAAATTCGAAGTGTTATGAATGGTGATGTGATGTCATCATATTGCGCTGTGTAAAAACCAGCACACACACTCTCAGTAAATAGTGCTGTTAATGCATGTTGAATAGCAGAAGTTAGCGATGGACTAATCATACATATAAGAAAAAAGAATTTGACACTCAGTATTCGAATAGAATGAATGTGACCTCAGGCTTCAAAGCTCAGTGAAGTTTAATTTCCTCACAATCGCACAGCGCTACTGTGTATATAGTTTGTTGTGGTAGTTTGTCAGCAGTAGGTCTAAACTACAAAAAATGTGAGCCGGTCTTGAGAAATCAGGAATATGTCGCTAAACCTCAAACCGAGATATCAGCAAATATAGTTGATGTGGCCAATTCTGGTCGATTTTGAGTCACACATACCAGAGGATCCCCAACCATTTTTAGAAAATAATTAAAGAGCAGTTTCTTGTAAAAACCACTTTAAAGTATAGTTTCCATTTACATTCAGCTATTAAAAATCAATAATCTTACTTTTCCATATATTTTGTTACTTCAAAATGCAATATCTCAAGTTCAGGAAAAGATCATAAAAAAATTTAAAGTGCATAATCATCTGGAAGATCCCAGCTTTCAGAAAAGCAAAAATATTCAAAATGGGCCTGGGGTGACATATTATTCGTGATTTCCCCAGACCGACTCACGAATGTGTGCATGAAAGAAATTAAGTTCAATAGCCTCACAGTCTTCATGTGTGTGGCACAGCATCAGTGTTCCCGCTTGTTATTTTGGAGTTAAGTTTATAGTTGAGATTTCTTCTTTTGCAGTTGCGAGCGCTGTTACAAACTCAACTAAAACTCAACTAAGATTTTTTGCTATAGAAGGCTTCATAGAAGATTCATTGCTTAACACTTTTCCGTGACATCTCGCCGATCGGCGATGTTTACCACCCAGCTTCTTTGGATTTTCCCCAAAATGCTTTTGCCTTTGATGGCAAGGGTTTTTACTATATGAGCCTTGTGATGGCAAAATGGTAAAGATGCTAAAGATGTTCACAAATCTAGATGTGCATAAGCCTGAGAGCATCTCTACTATAAGAACATTAAATAAATTTTCTATTAGTGTTTTGATCGGGTTTGGATGCATAATATAGGTGTCCATAATTCTTTGAAAAGGAAAAAATTTTTTTGGAAATGATGACTTTTGTTAAACAGTTCATTGTAAGGTTGTTTAAGTTACTGGTACTCATCTGGTTGTGAAAGCAAGTGAGACTGGATTATTTCTTCCCTGCGCTTGGACAGACTGTTAGCCCTCTTGGTTAGTTAGAGTTAGACACTTGACTAAATTAAGTAAGTGCAGATGAGCCTGGTTTGAATCTTTTATGGGACAAAGTGAGCCTAGCTTACGTTTTCAACTATTTCAAAGGCTTTTTTTCTTTATTTTATCAAGATGGATATAAAATTAGAAGTCTTACCTCAGGTCCTTTTTGAAAATGAAAGGCATTTTTATGTTAAGTTCTTATACCCCTTAGGAATCACGGATGAGAATACACTGCTTCCCCAGGACCGTAAACGAGTATGCTTGCGAGCAAAGTGACCTACATCGAAACAAAGGCATGTCGATGTTATGTTTTTGTAAACCGATTGATTAGTTCTGGTCAGATATTTTGCTTCCGATTTCTGGCAATTAAATGTGGATAGCGATAAAATGAGTTTAGAAATGGTGTTTCTCCGAACCTGAGGTGCTCAACAAAATTTGTATAGACACAGACAGTGTTGACTCAGACAGTGACCATGATAATTTGGATTGAGACTCTTCAAGTCAAGAAAAAAAGGATGAAAGACAGATCTAGAACAAATTATTATTGATTGAGGAGCAATTTATGCTATAAGTAGATCTAGCTCTAGTCTTTTATTCCCAATAGGAACTAATTCTGGACAAAAGCTTACTATTACATAAACGATTACACCTAAATGACTCGAACCAAAATATTTTTTTTCAATGAAAATGTGTTTTACAGTACGGAAACATAGTCTTTTATTTTTTAACAATTTGGTGAAGCTTCCTATCTATAACTTTACTAGGGGCTGAGCTATTCATATTAGAGTTACACATATCTCACATCGTGAGAAAGCGGGAGACAGCTCCGGTCCTGGGGTACTGAAAGTCAAATGTGAGGCCAATTCCGTAGGTGTTAATATCAGTAAATGAAGGTGTGAGATAGTGCAGCGTCTCCTCATAAATAGTTAAGCTCATGTGGCCATCTTTATGTTGCTTATGTCTGAAATTGAGTGTTTTCTTGGAGTACAAACAGAAAACAGACTCATATTTAACTTTGAGGTTAACTTTTTAAAAACATATTGATCAGAAAAAACCCCACTTATTTATTATATTATTTTTTAAAATTTATACCTTGTAAAAAAGGGATACACAAGTTTAATATTATATGTATATTCTTTAGTTTTTCAAACATGAATGAGAGCAAAAGAGAATCAGCGTTTAGGGTTAAAACACAAAATGAATGATGCACCTTTTAATTGGTGCAATTGGCAGAAAGTTAATTGTTGACAACTTTAAATGTTTGCCTTTTAACCATCATTTTGGGAAATCAAATACTTGAAAAAGAAAACGGTTACAGTGTGCATGGTGTTAAATACCCCCAAGCACAACGCTATAGAAAATTACTCCAGAACACCTTCATTAGACAAAATACTGACAAGTTGAAATGTTTTTGACTTTTTAAAGATTCAGTATTTTTTAATCTTTCAAAGGGAGGGATAGTTGTAAGGATGATAAATCTTACGCAGTTAAGTTGGATTCTGGAGAATGAAATTATAACAGTACAGTTGCTTCAGCTTTTAGTTTTTTGTTGTTACATAAAATTGCAGACGATCATGTTTGTATGATGAAATGTTGATTGAAAAGTATTGTACGGTTACCGACAGCATTGAAAGATTTTTCAGCTTTTCTCTTTACTTGTTATTTCTTTGCTTCATTTTCTTCTTCTCGTCAGGTAGAATCTACTCTTCCTTATGTATTTATGTTGTGTTATGAGTGTGTCACTGTTGCTGTGCTTTAAAACCTCCAAATTTTATGGGGGTATTGTTATATGAGTGGGCACACAGTAAGATGTTTTGTGAAAATCACATGATTTAAGAAGCGGTGTACAGAAAATGAATTTGTGACTTAATTCCTGACGATGAGAGACATTTTATTTTAGTGTTGGGAAAAAGTACTTGATTACTTGATCCTGGGAACAACATCTTTGCACTCCAGGCATTGCCATACGTGCTTCACTCCGCACTCCAATATCCACAACTCAGAGTCCACCTGCTAATTGTTCAGGTGTTCATTTGGTTAATAGCCTGTCTTTCCATCCCCTGCATCATGCTGGTTCTGCCACTTCCTCTGAAGATATGGAAAGAGTAACGCAGATAAACAGAAACAACAGTGGGAAAGTAAAGAAGTAGGATTTTCCTGTGGCGCCCTCCAACCACCCGCTGGCATATGTCTAAAGGTATACTGTTTATGGACCCAGCCCTAAGCCCTAAACCTTGGAGAGTTCTAGGATATCGATAATGTTGAGAGCAAACTGGCCAGGTCTCTAATGGAAGAAAAATTTGTTTGTCAATTTTTGGGCATATAGAGTTATTAATATCATCTTAAAGCTTGTTCATTTGTCTTGAATTGGTTTAAAAAAGTACCCCTCTATCTTGAATTGAAGTCAGATATTTGCAATTGAAGGTAGTGGGGGTTGCCTGGTATGAGAGGTAAAACTAGCGAGAAAATGACTGCCAAAGTGTGGTGACTTCCAAGGCTTCAGAGTTCTTGGAAAGTGGAAATTTACCCTGTTCGTGCCCTTAATGAACGCTTTTCGGTAACATCTACTCGGAAATGCATTTGAAAAGGACATAAAAAGGGTTGCGCCAAAAATAGAAAATCTGAAACAAAATTACCCCACACCCAGAAAAATGCTGTTTTCTTTTACTTCATTGTTTTGACGAGCGCCTGATGTCTCCACGCTGCCTCACAAATGCTCCTCCATCTCTGTTCTTGGAATGTAACCCTTTACATCCTGTGTTGAGGTTTACTTTGGAAGCAGTAGAAATTTTCCTAGGACTTCTCTGACTCATTAAAGTGGTTTATATTAGAAACAAGGAAAGAGGATTTGACAGGTGTTTTTTTTTCTGTCTGTTCTATGAAATTGACTTTTTTGGAGTTGATTACTTGGCTGCCGACACTGTGGATATGTGGGAAGGGGATTAAAAGTAAAAAATGTACTAGCTTCCTGAGTTTTCAGTCTATGGTGATTTTTACAAGTTGTTCCTCAGCATGATAGTTTTATTTGTAGTTTTTACTGCTTGGTGTATCTTTTGTTTCCAAAGACTGTCTTTTACTATTTGAAATGGCTTCCACTTGTACAATGCACTCAACCCTTTCAAATGTTCAGCTCAAATTTTCTTCTCCATTACTCCACTTTGCTTCTCAGGTCTTCCTTTTAAAATTAAACTCTGGTCCCGCTTGATTTTCAGATTTTTTCCCAAAGGTTAAAGTTTGGGTATATTGACAGTTACAAAAATAATTCTTTCTTTTCCCAAAGGTTAAAGTTTGGGTATATTGACAGTTACAAAAATAATTCTTCCTTTTCCCAAAGGTTAAAGTTTGGGTATATTGACAGTTACAAAAATAATTCTTTCTTTTCCCAAAGGTTAAAGTTTGGGTATATTGACAGTTACAAAAATAATTCTTTCTTTTCCCAAAGGTTAAAGTTTGGGTATATTGACAGTTACAAAAATAATTCTTTCTTTTCCCAAAGGTTAAAGTTTGGGTATATTGACAGTTACAAAAATAATTCTTTCTTTTCCCAAAGGTTAAAGTTTGGGTATATTGACAGTTACAAAAATAATTCTTTCTTTTCCCAAAGGTTAAAGTTTGGGTATATTGACAGTTACAAAAATAATTCTTCCTTTACTGTCAGTTGTTCTTTTGTGGTTTCTTCTGCTCTGTTTATCGTATTTATTAATAAAGAAAAAACATTATATAACATTTTACTAGTCATAAAATGTATCAGATTATTTAAAATTGTTTCTCCCCATTGGAGTGGACTTGTACTTATATAAGATGGCGTTGTCACAAAGGATATTGGTGGGTGGTTGGCGGGTGCTCTGGTGTGGTTTGCTCCTTCTTTCCTATCAAACATCTATCGTCCTTATCTCCCCTCCTTTTTTTATGTTTGTTACTCTCTTGTAACACCTCTAATCTTCTGGCGCTCATATGACCTTATGCAGTTGCGAGCGCCGTAAAACCTCTACTAAAGGATATTGCCAGTGTAGTTCCACAATTGCCTAAATCAGTGTCGAGGGGGTTGGGTGGGGGGTGGGGGGGGGGGGGGGGGGGGGGGGGCGTTATAGACATAACTATTATTCAGATAAAAATATGAAGGTGCATATATTTCATCATAGTTTTGTATTGTTCACAATTCCCTTCCTTTTTTTAAATTGAAAAATTACATGTGTCCAAGTAGTGATTGTGATCTGGACAAAATTGTATTTCTTGTAATTTACTCAGGGCTTCAAAAAATGACATTGACACTTGTGGAGTGAGACTGACCATATATCTCGCTTTCCAAAATAAATGAACTCAGATGATAACTTTGTCAGAGCGTCTATCTGAAACCTAGACAATCAGAATTATTTTCTATGAACTGTTCTGTGGTCTTTCTTGACCCTGTGTTGTGATACAATTTGCCAACCATGACATAATATGTTTGCATGTATTTCTTCATTTAGCTTTGAAAGGCAGAAAAGGATATGCGTGCTTCAGAAAATGTTGGAAATGGTATGTCACATTCATTAGGTGAATAAAATATTTTTTGGTCGTGAAATATATGTGTTTGCCTGGAGATAGGTCCCAGTTGTCGGCGCTATTTTTGAGCAATGGAGTGAAAAGGCCGAAAATGTTATACCCGATCAAAAATTTAGTTCCGTCAGAAAACACGTGTTTTACCATTTCTTAATAACATATTGACAGGATTTTATAATATTTTAAATCTAAATATTTTTAAAAATAGTAGTTTTTGCAGTATGTTGTACATCGTCAAAGGTTAAAAACGTACTGGAAATTGGATTTTTTTCCAAATTTTGTTTTTACACCCTGTGTTACAAAATGTAGCATATCTTTAAAAGTACTCATGATATTTGAAAATTTAAAAAATCCGTGTATTCAGCATTGAATTTGCTACAAGAATATGCCTTTAATTCAGTATCCAAAATTTCCGACAACTGGCAACTGGGACCTTTCTCCAGGCACACACTTAATAAATGTTGCTGGAAGTGATATGTCACGCAAAATAAGCACTTTTGGTCTGAGATATGTGTCGTGAAATATGGTCGTGGGACCTGTTCTCAAATGTGTACTCTAAGAAGGAAAACCGGGTAAAAGTCAGTATGAAGTTTTCTTTCTTAAAATAAATCAACTGCCCCCCACCCCACCTGTGACCCCACTAAGAGTGGAGAACCCTTGTGTGCGTTGTAGGCCAAGTTAGTTTTGAGTGGAGGCCTCAAGTTTACGTTTACCGAAAAACATTTGCGAAATTGATCACTCTTTAAAAAATATGCAGAAAATGTGCAGTGAAACAGTGTTGCTCTGCTGAAGATGTAGCACAGGATACTTTCCACATTACGTTCATTGTCAGGTAAATTTTCACATGAGGTTTATTATATAGATGTAAGTTGTAAGTGAAATTTTCACATTAGGTTTATTATATAAATGTAAGTTGTAAGTGAAGTTTTCACATTTGGTTTATTATGTAAATGTAAGTTGTAAGTGAAATTTTCACATTAGGTTTAATATATAACTGAGTTGTCGGTTAAATTTTCACATTAGGTTTATTATATAAATGTATGTTGTAAGTTAAATACAGCAATGTTTGTTCTTTATCCACCTGTTCAGTTTTCCGTTACATTCCACAAGTGATCAGGCTAAAGAGGTAAAGAGTGGTGTTCACTTTTTCCTCAGAGCTTTAAACGTGTTATATATTGAGTTCAGAATATAGATCTGTATTTTGATGCTGCCAATTTTCATCGCTTTAACTGTAGCCTTGTTACCGTTTAGGTATCAAACCATTTGTGTATTTAAAAAAAATTCTTGGTGAGAATAGACGATTAGTTGTTTATGTTTAGGTTGTTACAACTGATTCAGGTACTTTGAAATTTCTGCACTGAATTCTTTGTATATTCACATCGAAGAGTAGAATGTTCATAAAACAGTCGTGTAGAGAAGAAAGTTGTAATGCTGTTAAATGATTCCATTCTCTGGTTTTGAATTTGTTCTAACCTGGTTTTGAAAGAGAGAACACTAGATTGTGAACGATTGTGGCGTGGAAAAAGGATGGAGGACTGGCGTTTACCTCTTCCCTTTTTTGTTCTGATTTATCAAATCAAAGGATTTATGTTTAAAAAAATAACTTCCAAATTATTTTCTTTTGCTCTCCTTCTTATTTTTCTAATCAGAAATTGCTGTGCCAACCTCTGAGTAATCATTTCCTGATCTTTGTCTACAAAGGTACTTTATCATTAAATGCCAAAAAGTAGGTTCTTTTGTATGAAATGTGAAAGAAGGTCATTGAAGTTTTGGTTATAGCTCTTTACTGCTGAGTCTTTTATGTGTGAAGAGTGATATGATGGCTTGTGTAGTTACTAATGCATTGATAATTTCATTCCAAAGTTTTTACCTTTCTCTTTACCTGAGAATTTTGTTTTATATATGTAGGACTGGGAGGCGTAGCAGTGTAGGGTATTTTTAAAGACATTTACATGCTGACAAGAATGCTGCTTTCTTACAAAATTCTTCCATATCACTTTTTAATGGTAAACCTCATTCTTGCCAAGAAATGCTTGAACTAATAAACTGAGAGCTTAAATGAATTGAGAATCTTTAATAATTTGTTCAAAGAATTGATAGTTTGTAAATGTTCATTAGTACGAAAAAAATGTCTCAAAACACTCCAAGCAACGATGCTTACTTTAAAAAATTCGGTAAAGAATTTTCTTCTTTATCAATTTTCCTGTTGTCTCAAAAATATGCATTCATATTTATTGTTTTGAGCAAAATGTATAATTTTTTAAGACTCCTTTTTCTCCCGTTACAGAAATTGCATGTATTGTAGGAGTTATGACGCTAGTAGGTCTTTGGCCTACGTTGAGTTTTGCTGGCGATGTCTTGGTGAATGTAGATTTTACAGGACACAGAGACAAGTTTACTGAACGTGGCTAGAAGGAGCTATTTAAGATTGGAGAATGATGTGTAGGCCAATAAGGCAGTGGATAGAAGAAGGAGCAACATAGATTGGAGAATGATGTATTTAGGGCAGTGGATAGAAGGAGCAACATAGATTGGAGAATGATGTATGAGGCAGTTGAAAGCTTCATCTCGAGGTCTGGATTCTTTGGTGTCCTCTTTGATCCCTTCGTTGCTGAGACATTTCTTTCTACTTGTGTACAGACAAGATAAATTGTTCATTCAAGAGAGATTAAACAAAGCCATAATATCTCTCCCCCTATTTAAGAATAAGCAACCGATCAAACTGTCGCCCCATCTTCTCAAAAGATCTCTATGAAGTCGTAGGAAAAAAATGTCACAGAGAGGGTGGTTGGCGGGTGCTCTAGTTTGCTTTGTTCCTTCTTTCCTATCAAACATATTTAATAGATTGTCTTTATCTCTCGTCCTCCCTTTTTGTGGTTTGTTACTCTCAAATCACACCTCTCATCTTCGGCACTCAAATGACCTTATCGTGTTGCAAGTGCTGTAAAACTTTAACTAAAACTGAAATTTTAGGGAACCAGTTTTGAAAAGTGCAAGTGGGTACACACGTCTGCACAGCAGTGAAGGGGTTATAATGGGTCTGTGGATGTCTGTCTGTATGCCTTGTGTGTCTGTCAATGGCTCCACTCTCAAAATAAAGAGGATGTTGAAGTATCTTTGAAAGAATATTTTTAGCCAATGAATATCAATGAAATGAACATCATTAAGAAGCTTGGAAGAGCCTGAATGTTGATAGAACATAGCTTACACAATGCCCACTGCATGAGAAAGTCAGTATTAAAGCCAGAATAAGATTAAAAAGATGAGCGTCTAGGATGACTTTCCTGGCAGCTGCCATGATTGGCCAATGCTGTGTGGCATTAAGTATGATCAGGTGAAGGCTATTTTTGGAGTCTTTGAATGGACCCTCAAGACTTAGTGTGGTCCTCATCAATATGTCTTGGTTGCATTATATAAATTTTATAGAACTCCATAGCAGAGGAGCAGCTTGAGAAAGGTCACATGGCTTTTCTGACCTGGTCATGCCTGTGTATTATTAGTATCAAGCGAATGTAAAGGGATACACTTGCCAGAAGTTCTTAAATTGTGGGCTGACTGATAGTGATGCTCGATCGACCTACTTGACGTACAATGTTGTTGAGTTGTCTAAGAGAATGCAGAACAAAAGTATCACCCCAAAATTTGTTATCCCAGTCTCTCAATGTACGGTGCTTTCGGAGATGGACGGTAAACTTTGGAGGTCCCGCCTCTCAAAGAACCTAATAGTGTTAATAGGCGCGTTAAACCTCTGTACCATTTCACTACTGTCTCTCAGCATTGGCCTTTTGGCTAAGATCAAAGTGTAGTATCTGTTCTTATCAGCTTTTTTAATGGGGCTCTCGTGGCCTAGAGGTTAAGGTGTTGGCCTCTCATTCAAAGGTCCCGGGTTCGATTCCGGGTAGCGACCAAAAAATTTTCTTCTCTAAAATTGTCTCCTTTCACATCCTTCCCTGCTCTCTAGCGATGTTCTGTTGTCTGCTTTCATTTCCACTTTCTGCCCCCATCCCCACACCTCCTTTGCCCCCTCCTCTGGGCTCTTGACTCTTTCTGCAGCCTTTCTACTGCTACTCCTTGGCCCCTCCTTACTGCTGTCTT